TATGAACAATTAAAACACTTTCTTTTTCACGTTAGAATATACGTACTTGTTTCGTGAAACAATGCGGTTTATTTTATATTTCCTTTTTGCTTTAGAAAAAAAATCACCAGAAGGTTTGTGGAGCCAGGATATTGCACATTTCCTTTGATCTCATGACATATGAGGTAATAACCTGATTTGTGCCGATGCTGTGGGTGTGTTTTATTTTATTTTTAAGCAATGAGATTCCGATTTTGGTGATATTCCTGACTCAAAAAGGGCAAAAAATGAACTTTCTAGAAATATGATTTTCTTTTTGAAATTCGGATACTGTCCGCCAAATTTCTTTTTTGGTACCCTTTCTTCAATTTTTTTTTAATCACTCATAAATAATTTATCATATGGTATGCATCAAATGAAAGAAGAGGATCTGAACTTAACAATATGTGTCATTTATTACTTATGATTTTGATTAAGTAATGATAAAACATCGATAATTGTTGGTTTCTTTTTTCTTGGACGCACTGTATTTATATAATTATGTAGTAATCTGACCAAACAAACCTTCTCATATATTTTCGAAGAATTTTTTTTTAAGGCATAGTTTACAAATGTTAAATCTGAGTTGCACAGCCCTACGTGTTATAAGTGTCTGTGATATGGTGTATTATTGAAGCCCTAAACAAATTTGGCTTCAAAATTATCAAGAAGTGCTTCGAAAAGTAAAAATCTCTGAGTGACCGGTTTTACCATACTCGTTTTTCTCAATAGACTGTAGTGTTATAAAAACCGTTAGAAAAACGCGAAATTTAGTTTAAATTTCCAATCATAAATATCTTGATAATCAGACAGACGACCGGCTTGTAAAAGTCTGGGGTTCCTGACTGACCTAAAGGATTATAATTTTCATTGCAGCAAGAGCTATATCCAGGATTTGGTTTCACAATCTGAGACGAAGTTACCAGATCCCTTTAAAGTTTAAAATAATAATCAGTATTTTTTTCAAAGATTGAGCTAAAAATGTTTTACAAAACGTGTTTCGGAAGTTAGGCATTTAACGCAGGCGCGGATCCAGGCGGCAGGGGGGGGGGGGGGTGCCACAGGTGGCATGTGCGACCCTTCCCCTTCCTTCTTGTTGAAACTAAAGAGGAACAAAAGAAAAGGAAGGGAACAGGATAAATGAACAAAATGAATAGTATGGGGTAGATTGTGCGTACGCGTAGAGCACCCTATCTTACAGCCGGGGCAAGCCACAGACTTTCAGGTGTTCATTTTTCTACACGATTTTGCCATTTTTTGGTTTCCATTTCTCCCAGATTGTTGTTAGGGGCGTTGTGCCCCCCCCCCCCCCAGCTAAAAAAAAAAAATCAAACTCAATTCACGCGATTTGGTGTATACTTTAAACATTCAACATGTTATTATTATTAATTTTTTTTTTTTACTGTATTGGCTGTATTATATTTCTAGAATTTGCTTTGTAATTTATCTACAGTTTAACATAAAATGTGATGACTTTAGGTCTAATGGACCGATCAAATGACATAGCATTAACAATCAAAATCAAAATCCAGCCTTGATCCTTGATTCAGTCCTAGTTTTTGTTAAAAGGTTAGAAGTTTAGGACAGTCATTACAGTTTTTACAAGTTTTAAATGCTTAATTGACATTTTCTTCAGATAGGGGAGTGGGGTTTTCTCTGTCTTTCACTATGCCACCTCCCCTTCCAAAATGTCTAGATCCACTGCTGCCTCGCATCCAGCTCAAGTTGGTGCCTCCCTATTCGCCTTCTCTTAACCCAACCAAAATGGCCCATTCTGCTGTCAAGATGGTTCTTTTTCGTTCATAATGGGAACGTCGAGTTAGGGGACCTGGTGACGGGTCAACAGGCAGAATGATGTGAACATGCAGTAGTGGAGGTGTGACCTCATCCAGCGTGTCGTAAGGATGAATATTTATGTCATCACCCACGAGAAGAGTACCCAGTGGTTCCGTCACATTCATGTCTATATGCCACGATGTCTTGGTCGTCAGTAGATTGAACAAACAGTTCACATTAAGGTGTATTGCTTATGAACTGTATTGATATATATGTCATTTGTTCCGGAGAGTTTGAGTAATTAAAGCAAGGCATGTCCCTTAGAAGTCTTTAAGGATCAAGTTTACATAAAGGGTTACCGATCTTCAAAGGATATTCACGCCTTTGTAAACAAATAATTTCAGATTTACAGGAATCAGTGTCGGAATTCAAGTCAGAATTGGTGTTTATTTGACTAAGTGTACACCAAAATACCCTTCAACTGTAATCAAGTTTGGGTGTATACCGGAATGTTTGATTTTCTCAATGTAACAACAACAAAGTAAAACACATAAACATATAACTTCCCACATTCCTCATGGCACACAAATATTTAACACAAACATAATTAAGCACAGTGTATGTGGTTGCCTTGATAAATCTTTATATGAAGAATTTTTGTCTTACAATAAATGTCCAACTGTTGTTTTTCACATTGCACACCGATAGAAATTAACACTGGAAACAATTTGCTAAAATCCAACAAACTTCTGTTTTATTCAGCAACTCCAACAATATCAATCTATAATGATAATACACAACAAAATAATAAACAAAGGTTTCAGCCTGTAAGCATTTGAAAATTCCTACAGCTTTGTTGGTGAGATACTGATTGCCATACGTTATGCAAATTATGTATGATATAATACAAGATTACAGTTAAACTGGATTAAATCTCTAGGTGAACACACTCTGTATTGAAAGTAGGCAGTAAATAATAAGACAGTACACAAAAGCACACATATGAATGTGAACAGAGCCACATTCAAACGTGGTCCGTCACTTAAGTTCCTATGCTAAATAAATAACAACGATCTTTTTTCCTTTCCTAAACATTTAGTTTTTTTCTAAATACGACATCAACTATATATACGTATCCGGACAATTACCCTCTGAAAAGTCTGCCCCGGAAAATTACCCTCCGAAAAACTACCCCCAAGGACAATTAGCCCCTGAAAAATTATCCCCGGGGAATGACCCCCAGGACAATCCCAGCCCCCCCCCCCCCCACGGAAAACTACCTCGAGGACAATTACCCCCCAATGACAATCACCCTCGAGGACAATTACCACCCGAGGACAACTACCCCCGAGGACAACTACCCCCCGAGGACAACTACCCCCTGACGACAATCACCCCGAGGACAACTACCCCCGAGGACAACTACCCCCCGAGGACAACTACCCCCCGAGGACAACTACCCCCATGAAAATTCAGGATTAAATAGCACAAAAACGATCTGACACATTGGGAGATGGCGACGAGCTCAACAAATTCCCAAACATGAACCCACCTAAATACTATAGCACGATCATAATTTTTTTCGAAAAATTAGGACAGGCATTTTCAATGGCGCTATTCTAGAGTAGACTGTCTTTCACCTGTTGATGATCGAATATTAAAATGACGTAATCCGAACATGATTTGTATGGGTAATATAGGATTTCCCGGCCAAATTCGCGTGTTTGTCATTCGAATTCATTTACTTTGCATTTAAGTTAGCGCAGATCAGCTTTTACCATGCCAATAATCATTTAATTTTACAGTTTTTGTATTTAATTTAGGATTTTGGTCGAAGGGTTTCATAGATCTGTCATTCAATTTAGAAACTGCTCAACTAGCATTCAAATTAATATTCACTTGTCGAACCGTAATTGTTATCATTCAAATTAACACCTTTCATTCGTATTCGTAATATAGGATTTCCCGGCCAAATTCGCGTGTTGGTCATTCGAATTCATTTACTTTGCATTTAAGTTAGCGCAGATCGACTTTGCCATGCCAATTAACATTCGATTTTTAATTTTTTGTATTTAATTTAGGATTTTGGTCGAAGGGTTTCATAGATCTGTCATTCAATTTATAAAAACTGCTCAACTAGCATTCAAATTAATATTCACCTGTCAAAGCGTAATTTTTATCATTGAAATTAACACCTGTCATTCGTATTCATAATATTTGTATTCGAGTTAGGAATGTTAGGGGGAAGAATTGCAACAAACTTTTACAGTTTTTAAATAATGCAGTTAAAATGCATGATTTGCCATTGGGGTCTAAGCTGTTATTCCAGTTATTCATTTTCAGGACAATGCAGATGGGTGTAATCAGACATCTAATAAAGAAGGGGCGAAATCGAGGGATATGGCATTTCTGTACGGACATGTTCATATACCCGTGAAAGGTGGGGGTACCCTCAATTGCACTTTTTTTTTTTTTTTTTTTTTTTTTTTTTTTTTTTTTTTTTACTACAGACTCTTATCATCTCTTATACCCAGCACACCCCTCTGTTTTTTTCTTAAAGAGTTTCATAGTTTACTTGCCCGCCAGCAGATCGATGACTAAAGACTAGGCTAAATATTAAATCATGTTCAAATTGTTGACTCTAGTCCCTACCCCAGTTACAGTATTGTACCCTTCTTCCATAATGAAATTATGATAACATTATGATAATTTTATGATGAAACATAAGACAAACAACTTCCTTACATGAACATTTACAAATACATTGAGACCATCAGGTCCGTAGATGCAAGTCGTTTTTTCCTTCTTAACAATCAAACTTAAATGCTGAAGAATATCAGATAAATCTAATAAGTATAAGTGTATAAATGCAAGAAAATGAAATATGATGAAATACACATGAAAAAACATTCTTGAAATTAAAAGAATGAACTACAAAAAAGTGTGTAATAAACGAGAAATGTATATTGACCATCAATTTAAGTGCACAAAGTGCTAATTTGAATGCTACAAATGAATTAGAATGCTAAAACTACACCGTCGCGTTGTCAGACAATCGTGTTGCTCCAAATCGAATGACCAAATAGCGAAAGAAGCACATTGTTCATTCATTTGAATGAAACATACATAGATTGTAATGAAAATTCTATAGATTTGAAAACTAGAAAAAAGAATATAAACCCGAGATATACCTTACTGCACTAAAACCGTCAAATTTGAACGCAAGACAAATTAATTTGAATGACGAAATCCTATACTATAGGACAACTGATTTGACATATAGGGGACATTGTGGTAGTGATTTAGGACATGAGTAGTCTACGGCAGAAGTAGGATTTAGGGACCCTTGGTAGTGATTTAGGAGGTGGCAGATCTGCGGCAGAAGTAGGGTTTCCTGGTTCCGCAGTCGAAGTCATTCCACTTCTGCCTGTCAAAGTCATTGCTACCTCGGCTAAGGGGAGACACACAATCTTCTCCCCCAGAGTTGTTAGGTTCGCCAGAACACCACATGGAGTAATCCATTGGAGTCCCATCACTCCACTCAAAGAAGTTTTCGTTTTGCACGTCATGTAGTCCAATCCAATAGGTCTACGCGAGGGGAAAGGGGAGAATGATTACATGCAAATCCAAGTAAGAATTAACCCAAAAAAGTATTATCATTTAAGTTTTTATTAAAGAAAATGAAAGAACACATTGATAAACAATACATAAATAAAGGAGATATAACAGGCATTTCAATGGAGAAAAGGCAATGCAAACAAACACAATTTAAATGCTAACATGCCCTTTACCTGTGTAAATATCAGCTAAACATGAGTTGAAGTCAATCATCACTTTCACCAATGAAGACCACATCCACCCTTATCATTGGATATTCGATACCCTAAATCTTGGTGGGAATAAATAATGCATGCCTTCAAACTACCTCATTTTCGTTATATTGAAACAGATAATAGCTTATACGGCAATAATTTATCATCTTTAACCCTAATAAATCGGTTCTTGAGATATAACGAGATCACAGGCTATTTTTGCATATATAATGAGTCATGTGACCTTTGACCTCGTGACTCCAAAAATATAATCAGTTCATTGGCTTTGCAAGATACATATACATGACCGCTTTTTGAGATAACGCGAAACGTATACGCTACTTTGTAGCGGAGGCATACCAATCACACTTGTTGGCTTAATTTGACCTTAACCTGATTGCATATCTCTGACTTCTGTCGATCTCAAAAGTATTACCAAATGAATTGGCATCCCCGATTAAGTTGGACAAGACACCTTAAACGTTTTTCTGGACTATTAAAACTTTGGTTTAAAAGTTAAGCGTGTTTGTACATTAGACCATATGGACTGGCGGCCATTTTGGATTATACCTCTCAGGGTCATCAGAGGTCAAATCTGACTTCCCTCCACATCTTTAAATAAATGTTATGGTGAAAGCTTATTATGCTACAAGTTTCAGGTTTTCTCAAAAAGTGCACACTTTTCTTGCTAAGCCACTGCACTGCACTATTACAAGCGTTTTCGGCGATTTCATTCGGTTTTATTGTAACCAGAATAACAACTAATCCTACCCCACCCCACTCTCTCTGTTTAAAATACATTTTGCCAATCAGATCATTCATCCCCCGTACAGCTACGAAAAAAATATTCATCTTCTATTCACCCTTTGCCCACCAACAAGGAAACTCTCATCGATCAAACTCTTCCATAGGTCGTAAACCTCTCTACTATCCTCCGCGTTGTGGATGCTGACTAGATGCGCCCCAAGTCTTTCGCATGCATGACGTGCATCGTGCCAATCCACCTTGTCAGAGTTGTAATAGTAACACCGGTTACCAACTTTCATGAATCTGTCAGGGCAGCATCCTTGGGACAAGCATGCGATGGCGGCAAGGAGAAACAGGTTGATGGTGAAGTTTGAATTCATGTTGTGAACCTATAGTGGAGAGAGAGAGAGAGAGAGAGAGAGAGATAGGGGAGAGATTGAACTAGAAAACATAAATATACGCCTCTTCAAATACACGAGTGTGTATTTTTATCTTTTCTCTATGAAGCTTATTTTGTTGTCTGCCATTAGCATTAAATGAAGAGCGCATTGAGTTATATATTGTTATTATAAGACGGGTTCTATAATGTAAGCAATCCGATTGGTCAATTGACATCACGTGAGTGTGTATTACTTTGTCCCATCGTGCAAACAATCTCCCATCACAAATTGATAACACACGCTCGATACCGTCCGATATCGCTTTCGCTTAATTCAGCCAAATTTAATTTCTGCATGATTTTCAATATCTAGATCTAGATCTAGACTATTCTAGACCTAGATATAGTAGGAGACCAGCCTGCAGGTCCCGTAACCAATCTCTGAGAACAAAGGTTGGAAAGTTTGTTGTGTTCCCTGATGAATACCGAACAATTATGACTTGGGCTGCCCCCTTGAAAACCCCGGGCATTTTCGTGAGGAGCCAACAAAGGTCAAACAGGGGTCAACATGCAAATATATTCTAATCGTGTCGATATGCATATTTAATAACTCGTCTGGCTATGAGGATTCCACACATGTATAGTTTGCTATACCTCTAACCTTAAAAAAAAAACGTTGAAAGGTCAACATACTTTTCACTGGTGGTCAAATTCACTAACACAGTTAACTTTATCAAATTGCATATCAAATTACTCGTCTGGTCATGAGGATTCCAGAAATGTATAGTTTGTTATACCCCTGACCTTAAATGAGGGCGCTATGGTAAAAAAAGGTCAATTTTAGTATATTTGTAAAGCGCTTAGAGACATATGTATCAAACGCTATCTAAAAGCTAAACATTTTTATTATTATTATTATTATTATTTTAGTGTTTAATAATATGTTTTCTGACATGGCAAATTCAACTATACAACTTTCAAGAGTAAAAGTGCTTACCTTGACCATGACAATTTTAAATGGCTGCCGTTTCGGTGACAAATATTTAACAACTTCTTATTCATGGGTTTCGGAAAAATTCCAAGGTTGTGGCAACAACTTTTGATTTTAAAAATTGCTTAGTTGAATTTGTATTGTCAGAAAACATATTATTAGACACTAAAATCATTCGAATCGGACGATGTCAACTGTGTTGGTGAATTTGACCACCAGTCTAAAGTGCATTGACCTTTTTGACCGGAGGTACAGCAAACTATAAATTCTTGGAATCCTCATGACCAGACGAGTGATTTGATATCAATTTGATAAGGTTAACTGTGTTGGTGAATTTGACCACCAATCAAAAGTGTGTTGACCTTTCAACGTTTTTTACCATAGCGACCGACCAATTTATAGCCTGCTCAGTCACCGCTGGAATTTAGGCATCGCCCAGTGATTTTTAGAGAAGTCGAGCAGGCTTTAGAGCCCAAGCAATGCCTGGGCGATGACCTGTGAGATTTCCCGTCGATCGCTGGTTGATTTTAGGTAAAAAATGGTCGAAAAGGGGGAGCTTCTCCGGGCGGCGTCCCGGCGGTGACCGACTGATGACCCACCGATTCCCGAAAGGTCTCCCACCGGCCACCGGCTGGTGTTAAAGAAATTGTCCGGTGGCCAGCAGGTTATCGGCGGGGCACCAAAATACGCTGGTTGCCTGGGCGACCGCCGCCCAGGCACCGATCTAATCGAGCGTTCGCCGTCGAGCGATATAGGTCAAAAATCAAACTGCGAGGTCGAACGCTGTCGACCGATTTTTAACTCGCCGCCCAGTGACCGACTGATCCCCCAACGACAACTGGGCGGCGACCGCTCGGCAGCCTTTGAACTGGCGGCTTCTGAATTGGCTAAAAACTCGCAACAGTGCATTACTTGTATAATGGATTTCGTGCTAGGTTGTTTTATTATGTTATGATAGTTTTTAAGATAGAGAGGGGGAAGAGCAAGGAATACAGAGAAAGAGAGGAGGAGTCAGCAAGATATAGATATATATATATATATATATATAGAGAGAGAGAGAGAGAGAGAGATAGTACGAGCGATATTTTTGCCGCTTGGTCCAATTACCATTTCGTCCAATTGCCATGTGTCTAATACCAAATTCCCCATTAGGTCCAAATCAGAAGAATGTATGACTAAAGATGTCACATCTTTGTGAATTTACCTTTTTTACAATCGTTTTTTCAGGAAAATGACATCTCTTTGGTATTTTCAAGACGACTTCACTTTTAAAGTCATCAGGATGTGCTATTTTTATTTATCCCACTTTGAATTATTATATCACTGTAAAGTCGATAACTTTTGCAGAGATATAATATTCACATAGAAATACATAGATATATGTGCGACCGATTTTCGACTTACAACGTTGGATAAAAACAGCACCACACCGCAACATAGTGATTCGAAAATTCACCACATCTTTACCTTGTCATTGATACATCCCTGCCCCCCCCCCTCCTCACCAAGAAATATCCCATAACTCTTGATATTGATGAACAAAGTTCTGAAAAGATGCATACTTTTATCGAATTCCGCTGGTTCCCATACTTTTTCTGACTTGTTTTTAGTTCCAAGATTGAGCACATCGATTTGTATTCCATAAGTTCATTTATTTCCATTTTCATATACAAACAATAAATTATTACAATAAATAACATTTTCATTAAACTACATGAAATCATACATGCTAACAGTATCAACGAGACCAAATTAATTAGTCGAGAATGAGAAAAAGGGCAACTAAAATAAGGCCAAAAGGCCTTCTAAAATAAGTTCCCTAAAAGTATAGATATAATTTGTTTTGTTAAAGCTATTCTGTTACTGAAAGACATGTAAATCCTTTAAAAGCAAACAGTGGATAAGAAAAAAAGCTAGAGGTACAGCACAGTGTAAAATATGATTAGGTTTTATGTCAGTATTTGGACAAATAATACATTATCAGATATTTTTTATTACTATTTGGTTATTGCAAAGAGGAATATATTTTAGTAATGAATTAAAAATCACCGGTTGATCACACCGAGGAGATTTTTCTTCATACATAAACATAAATTATGAATACTAAGATTCGTAAGGAACATGTTCTAAATTTTATATGGAAGAAGATTATGAAAATAAAGGAACCATAGCCGTGCTGTATGATACTGGTATGAATCAAATATATTCCAGGTTTTTAGCTTGATACAAAGAGGAGTGGAGTGAGCAAGGTAATGGCTACTGGTACAAATAGGCAGTACTTTTTTCCTGTAATTTAACTAAGATGTTCATTTTTAGTTTACCACAGTTACCCCAGACACTGACACAATATCGAAACTCAATTGTTTGCGAAAGATACTCCTTGAAAAAAGTAAGCCGACAGTTCAGGTAGTAGAAAATAAATATTTTAAATGTAGTACAACATTGTGTATACATATACTTATATTTGATTAATTTTAACCCTAAAACATAGTCAAAATGTACAACACAATACAATGGAATATTATGCTAGCATTGATGTATAGCGCTCTTTAAATGCATTTGTATCTCAGCGCGCACAATCATATGTCATATAAATGAACTTAAGACATAACAAATAAATTACTACGAGGGCGTATGAATGGATATTGGTTGCAAAGAAACTAACAAAAGGGAAACCAACCGACCAACCAAACAACAAATTAAAAGAAATCCGAACAAACAGATAAACAGAAAAGCATATTTATGTTAGGATTTTAGAGCAAACAATTCTTTTTTGTCATACTCTTTCTAAAAGCTGCCTTTAAGACTTGTGTTCACTTTTAAGAAAAAAATCATGATGCCAACATATTTTTCAGTTGCTTTTTTTCTCCAAAATATAAAAGCCTAGACATATGATTCACTTCTAACTTACCCAGTGAAGTTAGAGCTGAATAAAAGAGACAAGAATGTGGAAAAAGCTTCAATATGTGGCAAAAGTCTTTTAGCTGCTTCTAAAAGGAAGAACTTGAATGACTACAATGAATCCACTCTGATGTGCTCGATAAATGAATCGTTGTCAATATTGTAATGTATTTATATTAAAATCGCTTCACATTGAAGCGCGTTTTCAGATTGTGCTGTATTTCGGTGACGTGGCACTTTACCGTACGTGTCGAACAAAAGTAAACACTTCGTAAATTTCTTCTAGGGTCCTGTTTCATGAAACATGTTATCAGTATGTAGAGGTGTTGTGGTCGAGTGGATACGTCGCCGTTCTGTCGATCACAAGGTCCACCGTTCGAGTCCCGCCGCCGCACTAATGTCCTTTGGCAAGACATCGATCTTCATTTGCCACACTCCACCCAGGTGAGGTAAATGGGTACCTGGTAAGAATTTATTCCTTGAAATGCTAGAGCGCCGTATGGCAGCCTTGCTTGTAGCGCAGTAGAATATATACCTAATGTTGGATAGTTTCTGCGCTTTATAAATGTACTATTATTATTATTATTATTATTATAAAGCCAGGGTAATGATCGGGAGCGCCAGGAGGGTGAAATCTGACTGACATGAGCGCTATACAAGAACCTACTATTATTATCAGGTGGGCTGTATAACGTACAGACCACCTTATAATTTCGTTAGAATTGCCTTTATTATTTATTATTATTATTCTTTATTTTTCTTATTTCTAACCACTTTTTTGTGGACAAGATAACTTGAAAATGGCTGGATCAAATGCCTTGAAATTTGGCACACATATGTATAGGCATATGTACAAAGCACAGACATTTTTTCGACCTTGACCTTGACTGATGACGTCATCTAGGCGCCATTTTGTAAAATTTTACGAAAATCAACTCATGATCATATCTTCATAACCAAAAGGTATTTCTCATTCATATTTATCATGATCAAGGTCAATATCCGTCCGGTCAATTTTAGGTCAAATAACGCGCGCTTGCGCGTACGTCCGCGCGTCAATGCGCGCGTAAAATTTTGAAATGCTCAAAATCGTCTCAAAATCATTTTGCATACGTTTTAGGCTATTATAAGCATTTTATAAAAAATCGCGCACACGCGCATGCGTGCGTGTTTTCGCGCGTAAAACTATTGCACAACATACAATCGCCATTTTTTTTCTTTCATAATATTTCACATATTTTTACAAACAAATTTATAGCATGTTTATTTCTTGGTGACTATTAATGACGGAATGATCGACCGTTAAACATAAATTTCCGTGCGCGCGAGCTCTTGTAATACATAGCATTTATGGGCAATTTGCATATTATGACGTCAGCATATTTTTGGAAAATTGTCTGTATCTTTGTAAAAAATTGATTCATTTTCTTCAAAATTGTAATATGTTCTAGCTGAGACAATGCTTTACAAATAAAGTTGTCAAGATTTTTCATTTTGACAAAAGCATCAGGGCGTATTTTTGCGATTAAAGGAGGCATATCAGTTTTTCACATTTTGCGTGTATTCTCTATGGGACATGACTTTTTCTCAAAACTTGATTCTACATTCCCGTCTATCGCGAGCAATATCTACGTCGTTTTAGCTTCGTTTACGCTGAACTTTGAGTATGTTTTAGCTGAGACAATAAGCTATCTCAAATGTGCCCTTCATTTTGTCTTAAATTTTAGTTGGACCAGCCCACCTATACTTGTCCAAACAAGTATTACAAATCTAGTTATTATTATTATTATAACAAGTGCTATTTTTTAATGACAAATTTACTTCCAGCCAATCAAATGGGACGATTGTATTCGCTTATGAACGTTATTTTAACTTGCTGTTGATAACATTTTGTAATGACACAGGGCCCTCTAAACTTTAAATGGTTATGCAGGTATTTCAAGAGCATTTATCCACTCTAGAACAATACTAATAATAATAATAATAAGGGTGGCAAAATTATTTTGCCCCTTTCATGAACCCACCAAATCTCCTGCTCAACTCTCTACTCCACCGTCTTATAAAGAATAGATTTATATTTTCTATTTTATCGATGAAGCATAAACTTTAGGCAAAAGCAGTATATGAGTACGTAGGACATGCAATGTATCGGGAAACAAAATATATAAAAACAAAAAGGCATTAAACATGATCGAAGCCAGGAACGCCATTAAGAATGACTTCGAAATGTTAACCATTACAGATTTTTTCTTTTCTTTCTTTTTCTCTGTTAACATACTTTTTCCCCAAAAAACTCTCTCTTCTCCTTACTTTCTCCTCCCCCTCCTCTCACTCTTTCTCTCATCCCCTCTCAATCTCTCTCTTTTTATTTTGTTTATATAAGTGTTTTTTTAATAGTTCTCTGGGACTTTTGTAGCCTCAGGTGACAAATGCTCCCGGATGAGGAAGGACCGTATCATGAGAGTTTAAAATAACGGAAAAAACACCCAGCCTGTATTTAAATTAGGCCTACTTGGTGCAAATATGGGGAAATTCCCCGAACATTATCTCGAAAACAGGCGTCAGTTGTGCTTCTCTTATATTTTACTTATACCCTCAGCTCTCCTAGTGACAACGAAACAAAAATCATTCAAACAGGGTCCTACCCTTCCCCTCAACATGCCACTGGTAAGACAATATTACTAGGGTATATGATTTAAACCCTTTCTTTTTTCACGTGAAAATGTACGTACTTGTTCCGATTTAAAAAAGATGCGGTTTATTATATATTTCCTTGTTGCTTTAGAAGAAAATCATCAGGAGGTTTGTGTAACCAGAATTTCTCATGATTCCTCTGGTATTATGACCTATTAAAGAGGTCATAATCTGCTCTGTGCCGATGTTGTGTTTAATTTGATTTCAAGCTATGAGATTCCTCTTTGGGAGATATCAAATTAAAAAAAAACATTACGTTAGTTCACCTGGAAAACTTTGGGTACAATCCCTTTATGCCACTTATGATGTTACTGGGCATTTCGATTAATAACACATTAACAAAAATATTAAAGTAAGCAAGAACAAGCAAGAACAAGATAAAATACACAATTAAGGTAAATTAGAAAGAAAGAGAGGAGAAAAAAAATAAAAATTGGTAATGACAGATCGAGGTGATATTTTATTGTTTGTATTCTCATTTTCACATTAAATTTGATTAATTTTGGTTTTCTTTTGTTCTGTTTTCGCTTGACCTGAAATTTTTAGACATCAGTTGTGCTCCTCAAGCAATTATATTACACTCTCAGCTCCCCAAGTGACAAAAATAACACCTACAGGGCTCTGCCCGTCCCCTCCTCCTGTCACTTGTAAAATGATATTTACTAGGGAATATGAACAATTAAAACCCTTTCTATTTCACTTGGTAATATACGTACTTGTTCCGTGAAACAATGCGGTTTATTTTATATTTCCTTGTTGCTTTAGAAAAAAAATCACCAGAAGGTTTTTGGAGCCAGGATATTGCATACTTCCTGTGATCTTATGACATATGAGGTAATAACCTGATTTGTGCCGATGCTGTGGGTGTGTTTTATTTTATTTTTAAGCAATGAGATTCCGCTTTGGGTGATGAACAATAAACATTACGATATTTCACAGTTGTGCCAGGCAAGTATACCCACAAAAATGCACAACATTTCCTATAAAATCAAAGCTCAATATGCAATTGAAAATAAATAACGTTTTAGTATAAATAGCTTAAAGACATTTTGTACATTTGTGGAGACTTGATTGAATAGAGTGTTACATTTTGATATCTATGTTTGATGATGATCCATGAATATAACGGTTTTGAAATATATGACGTTATCGAGATATCTATGACTAAATACCACTGTTTATAAGCTTTCCTCATTTTTCTTTCTCTTCCTAGTATGATTAGTAATATCGATAAACTCTTATCTTGGGTCCTTCATAATTCAAATGTCATGTGCAAAATAGATTCTGTATTATTTTAGAAACAAGGACGATCACAAAGCCATGTGTGTGTACGTGTTTGTGTGTATGTTTGTGTACATTATGCCTGGAGACAAAGACAAGCCAGGGGCCTGTGTTCTATACTGCGCTCTAATTTGTCAATTGGATTGAGCTCCTTTTGGAATAAAACTGATAAAGATTTTGCTTCTTTTTGAATAAAACATGATATTGTACCCCAAAATTTTAGAATGTGATATAGTGCATTTTGTTCAAATGTCATATTTTAAGACAAAAAACCCAATTTTGATAAAACATGGATTTAGCTCCTTCTGGAATCAAGCTCTTCACATTTTGGGGTCTAAAAATCGAAGCAGCTTTGTGTTGTAACATGTTTGCTATTTATACCAACACAATAAAAGACACTGTTGAAGAATATGAACGGTCCGACAAAATATGGGGCATTTACATTATTAAATGTCATTCATATTAATGTTTAAAAGAATTATGATTACCATACCTACTATGACAAGAAGTATTTTTAATCATCTCTCATATCCCGATACAATACGTGTATATGCATTTGAAAACGTTGTATCATCTGATCCATCTGAATTACGTGCATAATAACAAATAAAACATTTTTTGCATGAAAAAGTGAATTTTTCTAAAAAGTGCGTTTCTTCCTAGCATTGGGGTTCCCGGGAGGCATTTTGATAACCTTTCAAAAGGTATGATCTTAAAACAGAATATGCAATTTCTCTGTTCTTTTGTTAGAAAAAAAACATACAAATCCAGCACAATCTGTCGTCTCATTTTGCATTGAAGAAGAGCAAAGTAGCGAATTTCAATCATGCTTTGACCACTCTCGCGAGCGCTCACTCGTTCAATTGTAGTCAGGCGGCTTTGGGGTGAGTGGCAAGTAAAAATACTAATCGTTAGCCTTCTTTTAGTATTAAACTTGTTTTGATTGGTTGAATATTGTTGTAGGAATTTACCCATTTACATAATTGAACTACCTGCCCGATGAAGCCAGTGGCCTGTGACCCCTGCACTGAACACTTTGTGGGAGTAAGTTTGTGGTCAACTTCCTTTGTAACAAAAATCTAAGCAAAAGTTTCCACAATTATGTGCCTCCTTTATGTGTTCTGTATTAATAAAAAAAAAAAAAGTTATGGTCGTGCGATTGCATTGTGAAAGAAACGTTGTGGAATCGATCAGAAAAGGTTGATCATCTAGCTTATAAGTAATGGTCCAGTGACCAAGCAATGGCCTTGTAACTGTTAGGCCCCATGACCAAAACCGTGTCGATGTGTTATATTAGTGCCCTTTTGCGGGGTATTAATCCTCATTATTGTCATTTATGACTTAAGGGCGTAGGTCCCCTAGTTGATAAGCATAGTAGCATACACATGCTTTAGCAGTCACGCAAAACAAACACTGGCAAATTAATATTTAATACAATTTGAGAATGTATACTATCTATTAGGAATAAATCATTGTCAAAATAATTCCATACATTGGGGTAAAACAACAATAATCCAACTATATGAGCGACAGTGTATATGGCACGATGTCTTGGTCGTCAGCAGATTGAACAAACAGTTCACGTTAAGGTGTATTGCTTATGAACTATATACATATGAAAAGCTTGATTCCAAAAGGAGCTAAATCCATATTTTATCAAAATGGAGTTATTTGTCTTAAAATAATGATTTCCTACATGGGGAAAAAATTTACTATATCACATTCGAAAATTTCACCAGGAAGTATGAAAAAATGTAGGTACAATATCATGTTTCATTCCAAAAGGAGCTAAATCCAAATCGGTTTCATTACAAAAGGATCTAAATCCACTTTGGGTACTTCTGTGTAAATCGCCTTTTTTATTTCTCCACTTTCCCTTTAGCCATAGACCTTAATGTTGTTATATCTGTTAAAGGTGTCGCCCTGGACCAATAATATGATAAGAAGAAAAAAATCTACCACATATTTCTGATTTTTACTAAATTGTTAGATTTTGTGGATTTAGCTCCTTTTGGAATGAAACATGGATTTAGCTCCTTTTGGAATGAAACGGACTAAGCTCCTTTTGGAATGAAAATGTGATATGTTGTTTACTTTCTTTTCAAAAAGTTTTTTTTAGTTGTGATTTCACTATTATTATTTAAAAGGAAAGGTTTCCTACTAAATTTGAATAAATTTCAGTGACTTTATTGAGAAAATATGAAATTTTCCAGGTACAATATCATGTTTCATTCCAAAAGGAGCTAAATCCACGAAAAAAAAAAACATTCTAAAAAGTTAGTACAAATCAGGAAAAACTGGTAGATTTTTTTTAATCATATATTATTGGTCCAGGGTGACACCTTTAAAATATATAACAACATTAAGGTCCAAAGCTAAAGGGAAAGTGGAGAAATAAAAAAAGGCGATTTACTCAGAAGTACCCAAAGTGGATTTAGCTCCTTTTGGAATGAAACTCTTCATATATAGGTATATTTATTCTGGAGAGTTTGAGTAATTACAGCAAGACATGTCCCTCAGAAGTCTTTAAGGGTCAAGTAAATATAAAGAGATACCGATATCGAGAGGATATTCGCGCCTTTGTACAAAAATAATTTCAGATTTACAGGAATCAGTGTTGGAATTCAAGTCAGAAGTGCTGTTTATTTGAATAAGTGTACACCAAAATACCCTTCGATTGTGATTAATTGTTGGTATTGTTTGATTTTCTCGACGTAATAACAAAAAGTTTAACACATTAACATACAACCTGTCTCTTAATCATGGCACACACATATTAAACACACAGTTGTTTACAGTGTGTGTGTGGCTGCCTTGATAAATCGTTAGATCAAGAAATTTCGTCTAACAATAAATATCCAACTGTTGTTATTCACTAGGAAAACCGATGGAAATTTACACGGGATACTATTTCCTGAAGTCCAACAAACTTCTGTTTTATTCAGCAAATCCCAAATCAATCTGTAATGATAATAAACAAACAAATAATAAGCCTGTAAGCATGTGAAATCCCTACAGCAATTACTCCCTTGAAAATTATCCTCCTGGAAAACTATCCCCAAGGACAATTAACCCCCGAATAATTACCCCCGGAAATTGCTCCCCTACCCCTCCCCTCTCAAGACAATTACCCGCCCCCCCCCCCCTCCACTAGACAAATACCCCCGGAAAATCACCCCCGGAGAATGACCCCCTACGGACAAGTACCCCCGAGGTCGATTAATCCCCCTCCTCGGCGACAACTACCCCAAAGAAAAATTACCCACGGAGACAATTACCACCTGAGGACAAGTACCTCCCACCCGAATACAACTACCCCCCCCCTCCCCCGTGAAAAATCAGGATTTAAAAAAAGATCTGACACATTGAGAAGTGGCGACGAGCTCACAAAATCCGAAGCATGAACCCACATTCGTTCAAGTACTTTGACACGATAAGAACTATTTTCGACAAATAAACATAGGCTTTTTCAATGGCCCTAGATTGTTTATCACCTGTTGATGATCGAACATTATTTATATGGGTAATACTAAGAAAACCGATTTGATTAAATTGGGGGGGGGGGGGGGATTGTGCAAGTGATTTGGGAGATGAGTGGTCTTTAGCGAAGGTAGGATCCCTCTTCTCTGGACAACCAATTTGATCCATAGGGACCTTTGATAGTGATTTAGGAGATGACAGATCTGCGGCAGAAGTAGGGTTTCCTGTTTCCGCAGCCGGAGTCATTCCACTTCTGCCTGTCAAAGTCATTGCTACCAAGGTTTTTAGGAGACACACAATCTTCCCCATTGTTGTTGTTGTTAGGTTCGATGGGATGCCACAAAGAGTAATCCATAGGGGTCCCATCACTCCACTCAAAGACGTTTTCGTTTTGCAGGTCATTTAGTCCAATCCAATAGGCCTGCGTGAAGGGAAAAGAGAATGATAACATGCAAACAATGTAGGCATTTAAAACAAGTAGTATTATTTAATTTGTATTGAATATAATCAAAGAGCACTTTAATGAACAGGACATAAACAAAACATAGCAGGCACATGGCAATGGACAAAAACAATAATGTAAACAAACCCAATGAAATTGCTTCAAAGTGACTTGGTAACATTGTTAAATGTTGATGACAAAATTGCTTAATTTTTGTACAAGATATTACTTAATTTATTCCTTTTACTGTACTAACCCGCTGACATGCAAAAAATCCTGACAAAATTCTCAAACCAAGAATATATCTTTGGTTTTCTTTGAAGGAGTCGATGTATGACACCCTCTAACAGTGATTAACAGTAAATTCTCCAAACCATTTTTGAATTTTCTCAACGTTTTTCCATGAAAAAAAAAAAAAACAGGCGATACAAAATCTGTCAAAACTTATACGTCTTGAATGGAATGTAGAGCCATTTTCTTGCTTTGTGACGATTTCCATTCACCTAAAATGTAATTAAATTGAAATTATATAGTTGGGAGAATTAAGGAATCGATCAGATCAGTTTTTCTCAATTTGTACCGTGAATAGTGGTCCGTTTTTCGCTCAAATGTTTGGATTATCTCATTGCATATTTTAAACATAAAATACAGTTACAATTGATTTGTCAATATTGAAATATATATATTTAACATGATAAGATTGCTTGGGCAGCAAAAATAAGAAAACAAAATATAACATGAAGTCAGGAAAGCGGAGAGGAGAAATATAGAAAAAAGAAACAAAAGAGGAAGTTGTAGAAAATGCATGTAAATCAACAAATATAAATTGCATACATGTATTTTTAAATAGTCATTAAGACAATATACGAATATAAAAAAATCATTGTTGAAGTTTGATAATGCAAGTTTTTGTATTATCGCTTAGAAAAAATGATTTTATAAAATATAATTATGATTAAACATTCCTTTTCATTCACATATAAAATGGCTATTGAAGGGAAAGGGAACGAAATTGTGTTATGTTGGTTTGTTATTATCGTATGGACAGTAAAAACCAGGAAAATTCAACATTTATGAAGAAAATATAATACAAATAAAAAATGAAATCAATTCATCTATTTTTATTAATTGGGCTTGGCTTTATTGAGAGGATCGACAAAGTAAGGTATGGGGCTATTTCGGAAACGATTGGTTTTGCACTTGAACTGTTGAAATATAGATGCATGGTCAAGGGCATGGGTATGTTTTTCAGAAGAGGTAACCAGGTACTAAATGTTGGGTGTTTAGCTAAGGATGTAGCGAAATCCAGACAAAGCTTTATTCTTCTGGATTCAAGCGTAAACATCAGCTGAACATCAGTTGGACTTAATTAGTGTCTTAAAACTAACTAACTTTGTGGAGGTCCATTTGAATCTGCAATTATAAACGTAATATTGAAACAGCTTAAATAATTTACGCCAAGAATTTATCTTCTTTCTACAATTATGGGTAAAGTAGGCAGTATTTAATCAATTGTATGGAAATCTGGCCGGTTCTTATAACATTTGGTCTCTCTCATTTTCTCTACACCTTCTTACTTTAAGGAACCCTGGAACCACCATAAGTTTGGTGTCAATTGAAAGAAAATTTAATTATACATATTTCTATATCAATTTAATGAAATTGAGATTAATTATCATCGCAGTTTTAATTAAAAACATTGGTAATAGCATTTAGATAATCTAATTTCCTTTTATATGACACCTTGAACAGTGGTTCAAGGTTTTCTTAACGTATATATTTATTGATTTTGAAAAAATAACTTTATTTTCATTAATGCAAAGTTGACATTTTGATTCGACAATGTTATCAAAATTCAATGCTTGGAAATATTCGAAGTAATGACTATAATAACTAACGAAACGCTTAAATACAGCCCGGCATAGCACCTAAAGAGCTCTCCGAACGCTGCTGAGATCACAGGATGGACATGATTTGCACAAGCAGACAATGTCCCATGACATTTCACACATTTTCAGTTTCTGTTTTTTCCATCTTATCTTGAGTTCTTTCTCTTACTTCACTACCGTCAGGGTAAATTTATAATATATTACCTCACTTTAAACCCCGTGCATGGTTTTATTTTGATGAAAAATGCGGTGAAATGCGGTGATTCGACAATGTTATCAAAATTCAATGCTTGGAAATATTCGAAGTAATGACTATAATAACTAACAAAACGCTTAAATACAGCCCGGCATAGCACCTAAAGAGCTCTCCGAACGCTGCTGAGATCACAGGATGGACATGATTTGCACAAGCAGACAATGTCCCATGACATTTCACACATTTTCAGTTTCTGTTTTTTCCATCTTATCTTGAGTTCTTTCTCTTACTTCACTACCGTCAGGGTAAATTTATAATATATTACCTCACTTTAAACCCCGTGCATGGTTTTATTTTGATGAAAAATGCGGTGAAATAAAAATATAGGAATCTGTCGCTTGTAAACAAAATAAGACGTCATTGTATATTTAGCTGCACACACCACGGTATGTGTATGGTTTTCAATTTGAAAGTCTGGTTTCTTTGATTGTTAATTAACCCCTATCCTGTGTATTTACAAACAAAAGATTTTAGTTATCAGAAACGGTTTCATATCCCCTTTTGAATGGTTTGAAATGCCATCACATTTATATACACTTAACTCACTATAATTTGAGAAATAACAGCTTTGCTATTATGTTCACTCCTTATGGGATGTCCTCTGCTTGGACAGTATTGGTCCATTAAGTGACGTCGTTAAAACATCGTTTTTTTTTTTCTGACGAATCTCTCGTTTATCCCAGATTATATGGAGGTGGTAGTATTTGTATTGTTATAAATCACCGGATATATAGTTGACCTAAAACTTGTACGATGGTCAATTGTTAGCTTATCAGTTTCTATAATTATATTGATACCTTAGTTGACATATTTGTGATTTTATTTGAATTTCCACTTTTCAAATGTATTTACTTTTTTTGATGGCCCCTCCAATTTAGGGTCGTTCTCTTAAAAAAATAACCCTCTGAAATATTGTGTATGCAAAATCTTTCGAATAAACAAGGTGTGCTTAGTTTGTGTGGAAGTGGCAAGCATATAGCTCCGTTTTATAGTCTCAATTGACAACGACCCCTATCGTCAGAGTCAGCAGCCTAACATGTTCGCCTATGGACTTTTCCCACAAAAAACGTTAAAGTTCTTTCTTTTTTTCTTTTTTTTTTAACGAAAAGCACATCCACCCCGACGTACGTTATCACTAGCTTATTCATTGGAACCCTCATGTCTCATTTACTTTTGAAATTTTACCCACCGTAATTTCATCAAAAAAGGTCGCAAGTTCGCCATTGCCTATATCACACATGTACAACAAGTCGAACTTTGGACTCAATTTACCACGCGATTGTAAGGTTATAAGTCAAGCACACGAAGGATAAGAAGCATGAATTATCAAAGATCAGTTCTGATTTGTTCATTATATCCATTTCATCCGACCCCTACCGTAATTGTTTCCATTTAGTAGAGGCAAGCATTTTGCCGAGGTAAGCAAAAACATGAATATTCATGAACGGTCAGACAATACAGCCTTTTAGTACGTAACGCATAGGGAATATAAATGGGCGATGATCCGTCCAGGAGGTATGGGTCAGTGGTTTGTGCTGGCAATGTTCCAGCGAGCGAAAATGAGACAGCCGGAGCAATATGCAAAAACCTCTTTTTGTCTTTTGCCTTCCACTTAATTGTTGTAGCTCAAAGTTTGACAATATTTCGGCATACTTGCTCTTTCAAATAAGGAAGAAGAAGAGGTAAAGTATCTGGCGAATACAATACCATCCCATAATGTAACAAATATGCGTGGCATAAAGCAGGGACAAATTAAATTAATACTTAATTGATAAATTAATTAAAAGTTGATGAAAATATTTTGTCAACAAATTTTTATGCCTAATTTGTATAAGCAGCGTCAAAGTTCATATTTCAGAAATACCAGCTTTAGCGAATTCCCCCTTTTTTGAAGCGTTTTCGGTGATATCCTTAGATTTTATTGTAACCATAATAACAACATACAAATAAAGCATCAAACAATATTGTGTACACTCAGGGGCGTACGCAGGGGGAGGGGGGGGGGGTGGGTAAGCGGACACTTTTTTTTTTTTTTGGTCTCGAAATTTGAAAATTTGACATTTTTTTTCGTTGGGGGGGGGGGGGGGGGGGAGGGTAAGGTCACTTTACGTTAGCCGTGGGCATAATTTTTTTTCTATTATTTTTTTTCAATTAAAAAACAAAACAAAACAAAACAAAAACAAAGGGGGGGGGGGTTACACACATAAAAATACCAAAGGGGGGGGGTTGAACCCCCATCCCCCCCCCCCCCCCTGCGTACGCCCCTGTGTACACTGAAGAAACAAAAATTCAAGCGCAGGTAAAATACAACGAATATATCTTCCCTTCTCCCCCCCCCCCCCCTTTCTTTTTTGTTCCTTCTAAATTCCATTGGCATATAGACCTCTTTCATCTCCTCCGAACTGTACATATTCTCCACCTAATACCTTAAACAAGCAAACACAACTGCCTATCACATAACCCCTCTCCCATACAGCTACGAAAAAAAAAACTCGTCTACTATTTACCCTGTGCCAAGTATTAAGGTAATCATCGTCGACTAAACTCTTCCATAGAACATAGACTTCTCTACTATCCTCATAGTTGTGGATGCTGACTAGATGCGCCCCAAGTCGGTTGCATGCATGACGTGCATCGTGCCAATCCACCTCATTTGAGTTGTAATAATAGCACCGGTTACCAACTTGCATGAACCTCTCAGGACAGCATCCTTGGGACAGGCATGCGATGGCGGCAAGGAGAAACAGGCTGATGGTGAAGTTTGAACTCATTTTGCAAACCTGTAGTGGAGACAAACAGAGAAAGGGGAGAGAAACATCCAAAGATCTTAGAGACACACCTCTCCAGATGGCAGATATATATCATTTTTGTTTTCTTTATCAAGTTAGTGAACATGTTTTTTTTTATTAGAAGCGCTTTGAGCAATATTTTGTATTTGGATTTTGTGCTAAAAGAGTAATTATGTTACTTAAATGCATCTTTTAACAATTACCAATCTGAGATGCATTGCTATAACGTGTTGTTAGTGCCTGTTATATGGTATGATATTGAAGCCCTAAACAAATTGCGCTTCGAAATGATTACGGAGTGCCCCCGAAAAGTTAAAATCTTTGAGTGACCGGTTTTTCCATACTCACTTTTTCCAAATAGACTGTAATTATATAAAATTTGTTAGGACATCGAAATTAACTTTTTGTCATAGGGTTCCTGGATGCCTGTTGGCAAGATCATTTTCGGGGACTTTCCCCATATTTTCACAAAGTAAGCCTAATTGGGTGATATTTCCTGTTATGTTAAACTCTCATGATCTTTCTTTCCAAAGTCTACAAAACTCCCTGGGAACTATTACAAATGCATAAATAAAAAGTAAGACAAGGAGAGGGGGAGATAGAAAGAGAAGGGAAGCTACGGACGAGAAGGGAGAGGGAGATAGGGAGAGGGTGTGTGTGTGTGAGAGAGAGAGAGAGAGAGAGAGAGAGAGAGGGAATATTGCCTTTGACACAGTTTACGTTGTCAGAACAAATCTATATTGATCGTATTCCTCTAGATGAAATGTTATGGTATTTCATTTTATCTGGCATCATAAACAAACATTACAAATCATTAATACAGAATGAATAATAGGCCAGTTTGTGCTTGAACGTGAGGCCCCTGTCCAGTTGATCAGATTATTAAATTAGATATCTATTCAAACTTATTAAGAAGAAGAAATACAAAAAGGACCGACCCTTAACCATCAGCAGGAATCACCCATTTATATGCACATACCCACAATCAATCACAAACACACAAAAGCAAAACAAGAAAAAGGAGAGTTCAGAGTGAGAAAGGGCGGAAAGGGAAAAGATGAGACAAAAAAATAGTTAAACGGAAGAGGGAAAATTGATAAAGAGCGGAAAGAGAAGAGGTGAGACAGAGAAAGAGAAGAAACGGAAGAGGTGGTAATGACAAAGAGCGGAAAGGGAACAGATGAGAATGAGAAAGAGAAGAAAGGGTTTACTCTTACAAGGATAATATCGTTTCAAAAATAAAATATATTTCTTAAACGAGAAAGTGCAGAGCCTGAGCTAAAGTTATGATTTGATTGGATTTGATTTGTTGGTTTCTATATAATATTTTAAATATACATAGTTGAAACATACATAATGTCCATCAGTGTAATATGATTTACGTTTCATAGTACAATACATGATACTTATATAGTAAAGAACATAGATATTACATAGGAGAAAATTACTCATTTTTACAATTAACATGATATAGGAGGGATACAGCGTAAGCATGAAGCTTGAAATGCTTGCGACCCTCGATTAAACTGAACTAAACTAACAACGTATATTACATTTTAATCATATGAAAAGAGAGAATTACTTGCGATATAATAGAGAGAGAGAGAGAGAGAGAGAACAGATAGAGAGAAAGAGGGGAGACTGTAGCATTCCAAAATACCAGACACGTGTCGACATTGGATGACATGTTTATTATACGTTGAATTTCATTCATCTATTCCTGTAACATATTTTTTTTTCTGACATACGGATGGTCGATGTTGTAAATATAGTACTAGGACTAAAAGATGGCAAGAGACCAGGATATGATGATATTGACTCCAAAGTTCTCAAGAAATGTATAATTGTTATGCCTTTAACTTATATTTATAATGTATCTGTACAAAGTGGTCACTTCCTGGCACCGACAAGTTAAAGTTAGCAAAAGTTTTGCCTATATGTAAGGGTGGCGAAAAGAATGTAGGTTCAAATTATCGACCTATTTCTCTTTTGTCTCTTTTTGTCAACATCTTTGAAAACTTAGTTTATACTAAATTGATGTCATTCATAAATATAATATTTTATATAATAGACAATTTGGGTTTCGCTCAGGACATTCTACTGCCCTGGCTTTACTAGAATCTATTGATAATATAAATAATGCCTTTGAAAGTAAGCATATTGCCTTTAGTATCTTCCTTTGCCTTTCTAAACCATTTGATAGTATCAATCATGGCATATTATTAAACAAATTAGAATAATTATGGAATAGGGGGAGTATGTCTACAATGGATAAAAAGCTATTTGAATAACATAAGTCAGTTTGTTTACTTGGGTGATATCAAGTCGTCTTTACTCAAGATTTTCCTAGGTGTACCTCAAGGTTCAATATTAGGGCCCATTCTGTTTCTACTTTAGATTAATGATGTGCAATATGTTACTCAACTTAATTGCCCTACAATATTTACAAGCTTATGATCAATCCAAAAAGACACAATGTATGGTGTTTAAGAAAAGAAATAGACATCTTGATGGAATTTAGGATATATACATCAATAATTACAAGATTGTTTACTGCACAATATTTCTTGGAATTGATGTAGACGATAGCCTGACTTGGTCTTGGCATATTGATGAAATCATGAGGACAATACCACGGTGCGATTGGAGTATTGTATAGAATTAGGCCGTTCATTCCTTTGAGAATTCTAATCAATTCATATAACACATTGATCTTGCCACATCGTTCTTATTGTAATAAAGTATGGGGAAACGTTCAAATGCTTTACTAAATAAGATATATGCATTACAAAAAGAGCTCTGCGCGCAATAACCAACTCTCATCCCAGTACACCAAGTGAGCCTCTTTTTAAGAAACTTAAAGTCTTAAATATTTTTCACATTTGTACATTGCAAAGCGCCCTATTTATGTACAAATATGTCAACATCTTGCTTCCTGAGGTTTTTAATAATATGTTAGTATTGGTATTGGTATTGGTATTGGATTACCCATTCAGCTTTGTTAATATAACGAAGCTGTTCTTCCCTGGGGTCCAGGATTTAAGATATCAACAGTTATTATACAACATACAATACAATATAAAATAATATAACTTAAATACGTATGAAACCTAAAACATAGCAGAGAAGCATAAACACCCCCCCCCCCATCCCAAGCATGTTTCATTACAGATCAGAATAAAAATTGATTTCTTAAATTTAGATTTTTGCAAAAAGTTTTAAACTGTTGGATAGCTTAAAAGTTAACGGTAGGGCATTGTACTTAATACGTAATCCTTTTATACACAAACATTTTACGGCAGCATTCACTCTTTCGCTTGGGGAGTTTAATATTTCCTTGTGATCGTAGAGAATATGGATAGTTACAGTATTTGAATGACTCCTCTAAATAAGAAGGAGCCAAATTGTTGAGGGATTTATAGACCATTTCATTTAAATGCAATTTACGTCTTGAATTGAGAGATTTCCACACTAATTTAACATGAATATCGTCATTTGAAACATGGTAATAAAAATTAATTTTCAAAATGATACGACCAGCCCTTTTTTAAACTGTGTTAAACTCTGAAATGAATCAGTACAATACCAGATATTCCAATAGAGCAAGTGTGCTATTTTTAAAGTATGAATCGTCCAGACAGACGGTCCGACACTTGGGACCACACCTATGGAATTCATCACCTGATGACATAACAAGCTTGTCTTTTTCAAAGGCAAATATAAACAATGCCTTTTTGAAATATTAAAATATGGTGCGAAAATATTCTTTGTGTATAATTTTCCTTCACACGGACCGCCTGTTTCACTTTTGTTGTGTACTTAATTATGTTCTGTAACTACCAATATATTATTATTTTATTTCTGGAGAGCAGCCCTTGATATGTCAATGGCCTCTGTTGGCTACACCACAGTATCAAGTATTTGTTTTAGGTGCTTTAAATTCTCTGAATATTGGTATGCTATTTTCTTGTTCTGTTTTGTTAATCAGATATTGTATGTACATTTTTGTAGGCCTATGTTTTTTATGAGAAGTGTAAATAAATGAATATAAATGAAAATTATATAGAATGTGGTCTTATAGCTGAAAGGGTGATGGAAACACAAAGATTAACCCTTGTTATAGTATGATACGTATTGAATAAAGAATTAGTTCTCAACATGTCATCAACAAATACTGAAAGAACCCCTGTTGTGATACTTAACCACGAATTCTGACATAATAGTTAAAACTCTGGGCGAATTTTTAATTTAACAAGTAGTGGTAGACTGGAATTACGAAAGTCACTTGTTTTTAGTCGTATTGCACGTGTTTGTAAATTATATAGTCTATCAATATATATTGGTGGGTATACAATATCTGAGTTTGGGTAAAAACATATACTTCTTGAAAGCTTTAAAGATATATTAGCAGTATCCCGTCAATGACATTTGAATGATATGTGCCATATGCATGATCCCCCCTGCTCTCTTTATTTTTCTTTCTTTTTTCCTTCATTTTTTAGCCGGCCAAAGGGTGGGGGGGGGGGGGGGGGGGAGGGGACACATACTGACTGTACCCCTGCCTGAATCCGCGTCAGAATTGATTGCACGAATAGTGAATAAGAATGAACGGATTTTAAATTGTTAAAGCTGATTTAACGCTGCGAGTGCGGCATGATGCCCCCCCGGCCTTATTAGGGTTAAATGAAGTCGCAACAAATATTTTATATACATATAAAGATGTTTTTTAAGTTGGGAAACTCAATTGTTCGCGAAAGATTCTCTTTCAAACAAAGCAAGCCGGCATTTCAGAAAAAAACTTTTTTTAAAGTAGTACAATACTGTATATACTTAACAATATATTTTATCAATTTCAACTCAGAAACATAGCCAAAAAGTACTCCATTATAAAATGGAATACAATGATGGCACTGATATAAAGCGCTCTTCTAAAACATTTGTATATCAACGCACACAATCATTTATCATATTAATGAAGTTCAGAAATAAATAAAAATATGCTATGAGGGCATATGAATGATTTATTGATTGCAAAGAAACTACCATATGTGAAGAAAAAAAATACATAGAAACCCAAACAAACAGATAAACAGAAAAACAAATTCTAGCCTAGGATTTTAGAGCAAACAATTATGCGCATTTGATTTTATACTCTTTCTACAAGCTGCTTTTAGGACTTTTGTTTACTTTTAAGAAAATATTCATGGTGCCAACGTTTTTTACAGTTGCTTTTTTTTCTCCAAAATATAATAGCCTTAACATAATCATGTTTCACTTCTAACTTACCCAGTGAAATTAGCGCTGAATAAAAGAGACAAGAATGCGGAAATAACTTCAGTATGTGGCAAAAATCTTCTAGCTGCTTCTAAAAGGAAGAACTCGAATGACTGCAAAAGATACACTCTGATATGCTCGATAAATGAATCGATGTCGACATTCTAAACTTATTTATATAAAAATCGCTTCACATTGAAGCGCGTTTTCAGATTGTGCTGTATTTCGGTGACGTCGCACGTTACCGTACGTGTCGGAAAAAAGTAAACACTTCGTAAGTTTCTTCCAGGGTCCTGTTTTATGAAACATGTTATCAATAACAAGTGCTATTTTTTAATGACAAATTTACTTCCAGCCAATCAAATGGGACGATTGTATTCGCTTATGAACGTTATTTTAACTTGATGTTAATAACATTTTTGTTATGACACAGGGCCCTCTAAACGTTAAATGGTTATGCAGGTATTTCAAGAGCATTTTTTTCTTCAGGTGCCTTTTTATTTTGCTATCTATCCACTCTAGCACAATAATAATAATAATAATAATAATAATAATAAGGGTGGCAAAATTATTTTGCCCCTTTCATGAACCAACCAAATCTCCTGCTCAACTCTCTACTCCACCGTCTTATAAAGAATAGATTTATATTTTCTATGTTATTGATGAAGCATAAACTTCTGGCAAAAGCAGTATATGAGTATGTAGAACATGCAATGTATTGGGAAACAAAATATATAAAAACAAAAAGGCATTAAACATGATCGAAGCCAGGAACGCCATTAAGAATGACTTCGACATTTTAACCATTACGGATAGAGCATCTTTCTTCTTTTCTTTCTTTTTCTCTGTTAACATCCTTTTTTCCCCAAAACCTCTCTCTTCTCCTTACTTTCTCCTCCCCCTCCTCTCTCTCTCTTTCTCTCAATCTCTCTTTTTTCTTTTCTTTTTTATATATACTTTTTTAATAGTTCTCTGGGAATTTTGTAGCCTATGTTGACCCGTAGATCATCTCAGGTGACAAATGCTCCCGGTTGAGGAAGGACCGTATCATGAGAGTTTAAAATAACGAAAAAAACACCCAGCCTGTATTCAAATTAGGCCTACTCGGTGAAAAATGGGGAAATTCCCCGCACATGATCTCGAAAACAGGCGTCAGTTGTGCTTCTCTTATTATTTACTTATACCCTCAGCTCCCCTAGTGAAAACGAAACAAAAATCATTCCAGCAGGGCACTACCCTTCCCCTCAACATGCCAGTGGTAAGACAACATTGCTAGGGAATATGATTTAAACCCTTTTTTACGTGAGAATGTACGTACTTGTTCCGTATTAAAAAAAAGATGCGGTTTATTATATATTTACTTGTTGCTTTAGAAGAAAATCATCAGGAGGTTTGTGTAAGCAGAATTTCTCATGATTCCTCTGGTATTATGACCTATTAAAGAAGTCATAATCTGCTCTGTGCCGATGCTGTGTTTAATTTAATTGTAAGCTATGGGATTCCGCTTTGGGAGATATCAAATTAAAAAACAATACGTTAGTACAGCTGGACAACTTTGGGTACAATCCCTTTATGCAACCTATGATGTTACTGGGCATTTCGATTAATTAGAAATTAACAAAAATATTAAAGTAAGCAAGAACAAGCAAAAACAAGCAAGAACAAGATGAAATACACAATTAAAGTAAATTAGAAAGAAAGAGAGGAGGAAAAAATATAAGAATTGGTAATGACAGATCGAGGTGATATTTCATCGTTTGTTGGTTTGATTTGTTTGTGTTCTCATTTTCACATTATGTTTGATCAATTTTACTTTTCTTTTGTTCTGTTTTCGCTTGACCTGAAATTTTCAGACATCAGTTATGCTCCTCGTGCAGTTAAACTATACCCTCAGCTCCCCAAGTGACAAAACAATAAATAATTCCTACAGGGCTCTGCCCATCCCCTCCTCCTGTCACTTGCAAAATGATATTCACTAGGGAATATGAACAATTAATACCCTTTCTATTTCACGTGAGAATATGCGTACTTGTTCCGTGAAACAATGCGGTTTATTTTATATTTCCTTTTTGCTTTAGAAAAAAATCACCAGAAGGTTTGTGGAGCCAGGATATTACACATTTCCTTTGATCTCATGACATATGAGGTAATAACCTGATTTGTGCCGATGCTGTGTGTGTAGTTTATTTTATTTTTGAGCAATGAAATTCTGCTTTGGGTGATGAAAAAAAAACATTACGATATTTCACCGGACAACTTTGGGTGCAAAATATGTTTGATCCCTTTATGACACATATTAATTTACTGGGCGTTTCAATTAATTCAAAATGAAAACGATAAGAAAGAAAACAAAAAAAAGAAAGGAAGAAAACGAAGGTAAGCAAGCAACATAGAAAAAAAGAAAACTAAAGTAAGTTAAAAAGACGAAAGAAAAGAAGAAAAGAATTGGAGGTAAAAAACAAAGAGATAAAATTTAAGTAAATAATAAAAAAAATAAAAATAAAACTAAAGCTTCGATTTGTTCCAGTCCCTCAAAGGCGCCTATTTTACGTAAGGAAAATGTTCCTTTTCCCTCCTAATAAGTGCCTCTTCTCCTTCGTCCCTTTTTAATTATACTAAATGTCGCTATCCCAGTCTTAAAGGTACCCTTGTACTAGGACAAATGTCCCTTTTTCTGTGTAGTAACTGTATTTTCCCCTTTGAATAGATACTCCTTTTCATCTCTGATGATAACCAATTTTTATATGATAAGTGTCCATTTCCTTTTAATTTTTTTTTTCTTCTGAATAGTGCCCTTTTTGCTTTCTAATAATTGCCCCTTTATCTTCCTTAAAATTCCCCTTGTTCACCCCTAATAAAAGCCCCACTCTTAAGGAACAGTTGAGCTGTGTGCGTAGAGGGCGCTTCACACAAACAAATGTTGTGTGATAATAAAAAACTGAGTGTCCAATTGTTAAAGAGCATACAATTTAAATGACAAAATCATCTTTGTTTAACAATGAGAAAACGAGATATCGCCGTATACGCTTTATTGCAGCCAATGCCGACGTTAGCTTTTCCGTGTTGTTTATAATACGCACAACCAGTCAGCCTATTTATTGGTATTATTAATTAATTAATTAATTAATTAATGGTCACCGTATTTGGGGGAAAGTGGAGCTAAATTGGTATGATCGTATTGGTTAAATTTCAGATATGAAGATTTTCATTACAAAAGTAGCTAAATCCACTTTGGGTACTTCTGAGTGAATAGTCTTTTTTATTTTTGCACTTTTCCTTTTAGCCATGTACCTTCATGTTGTTATAAATGTTAAATGTGTCACCCTGGACAAATAATATATTATAAGAAAAAATCTACCCGTTATTTCTGATTTTTGCTATACCTTTAGATTTTTTCTACTTCTTTTGGATTTAGTTCATTTTTAAATGAAACATGGTTTAACTCATTTTGAATTGAAACGTATTAAGCTTCTTTTGGAATGAAACGGTGGTTTTTTAATTACTTTATTTTCAAAATGTAATTGTGATTACCCTATTTGTATTATTTAAAATAAAATGTTTTCCATTTAATTTGAATAAATATCAGCGACTTTATTGAGAAAAAAAAATTATACACACATTTTTTTATCACGCAACCTGTTAACTTTCGAGAATATTCTTACATTTTACATTTTTCCAACACAAAAACAAACGCCGTGCATACGCCGTAAATGATATGAATCAAAATTTTAATTTGAGAACTAATACTCATCGGAGTAAAAAGCACTATCAAAGTTTAACCCTTTGCTTACGGGAACCTGGTGGACCCTGTGTTAAGCATATGGGACCTATACAATTCAGTAGTTAACGGGTTAAACAAAATCAAAACTTTAGAATGGATATAAAGTGTCAGTGATCTCTTTTCTCTTCTTCTAGAATGGATAAATCAATTTCAGTTGCACTAGGCGAGTACAGAACCACACAAATGCACAACATTTCCTATGAAATCAAAGCTCAATATGCAAATGAAAATAAATAACATTATTATATAAATAGCTTAAAGAGATGTTATACATTATGAGACTCTTGATTAAATAGATTGTTAAATTGTGAAATCTATGTTTGATGATGATCAAAAGGATACATAAAACAGCCATGATTATAACGGTTTTAAAATATATGATATTATCGAGATATCTATGACTAAATATCACTGTTTACAAGCTTTCATCATTGTTCTTCCTCTTTCTTGTATGATTAGTAATATCGATAAACTCTAATCTTGGGTCCTTCATAATTCAAATGTCATGCGCAAAACAGCTTATGTATTATTTTCGAAACAAAACGATCACAAGCAGAAATGTGACATTTTTGAAGCAGAAAGCCATGTTTGTGTACGTGTGCGTGTGCGTGCGCATTATCGATCGTCCGAGACCAACTGCAAGAAAACACACCTTTTGTCCGAGGACGAAATTTACTTCCGAGGACGTAACATGCTGTCCTCGGGAGTAATATACGTGCAAAAGGATATTCTACGTCCGAGGGTGCATCTGACCTTAAATAAGGCCTGTCCTCGGATGTTCGAAAAGAAAAGAATCGACACACTTAACACTCCCGTTGGTATATCGTCGTGTGTGTCTTGAAATGTTAAGAGCGCCCCCTGCGGACACACAGATCCTCGGGATCGATCGTTGTGAGCTCGCGCGCGCGAGCTTGCAAAAATGCAGCGCAGCTAGCTGGCGCGTTGTATTAGAAGCGCGAGACTCGACCGTGTCGTCGATGACCGATCGTGCGCGCGGGACTAGAACGGTGGCTTATTTCACGATTTGGCCCTTATTGGAACGATGCCGGTATCACTTTATGGACCAAAAGGGGTGATAATTACGGCCAGTTTATTTAATTATAATTTTATTTTAATCTTTAGTTTTCAGTTCAATCATTTAATCAGAACTAGAAGATTGGGACAGGTCTTTTTTATATTTGTTGATCGTCTGGTTGATTTGGAGAAATTAAACCAGTTCATTGAATTCAGTGTTTGGGAAGGCTCGAGGCCAGATGTTATTTGGTGCCAAGGTGAGTAAAGTTAGACCTAGTCTATTTCTGATTCACACATCTTTTTCTGGGGACTCTGGTGTGGAGATGTACTAGTGCACTGAACTTATAGTTTGCAATGTGTATGCATGTATGCATTAACAAAGTGTGGAGCCTTGAGGTGTACTGACCATGCATGGGAAATGTTGAGCCATGCAAAAATTCAAAGATTTTTATGAATATTTGCATGAGAAATGTATTAAAAAATGGCGGCGGAACATTTGGGGGAGGGCTGGGGTGTGTTGCCCCCCCCCCCCCCATTGAAATCAAATCAAATTATATTGATAATGAAAACTAGAGTATTTTTTATGTACATGTATAAAGATGGGGGTGCGGTGTCCGGAGACTTAACACAAATAAAATCGCCTCCTTCTGCCTTTGAATTTCACAAAAACTATGGATCAAATAACAAAAATAATCATGAGCATTTGTGATTTATAATATTGTCTTACATTACATTCAAACAAATTATGAAATCTTGCTTCCAAATTTCTTGAAATTGCCGTTTTGTCCGGATACCCAACCCGTCCGGACACCCAATGACACCCAGTGACATAATATACAAAATAAAGACAACAAAACAACAAAAACAAGAACAAAAAAAAGAACAAATACTTTTCTATAGAAGTATTTCAGCCATTCCGGGTAAAGAAATTGTACACCTAAAAGTATGAATTAAAGAACAATTATTTAGGCATTAATTTTGCTGCATGATATCATCTGCTATTGCTAATTAAGTTCTACACACGTATTGTTAATATATTTTTCATCAGATTTTGTTTACATAGAGAGGGTTCATTTTGAACCCTTCCAAAAAGTTCCGTAACTCGACTTTGAGGGGATATCTTTTTTGTTACGGAAACTGTTTAGTGGTATATATGGAAAGATTCATTTCCTTTTGATAATGATATGCCATCTGTTCTGATTGTGGAATCACGGATTATGCAGAACCCCAAGATATATAATATAGGGAATGTAAAAATTAAAATGCTAAATATTGTTTTCTGACAAAAGTTTCAATTTTTTTCTTGGTTTGAGGGACTTTGTTGGCAATTGCATAGGATGGACTGAGTTTGAATGATGTTGATGCTGATGCAGGAAAGTCCACACACTGTGTATATTTATTTGCAAAATGGACTGAATGTGTGCGGAAAAATGTTGAACTCCGTCATTAAAACGGTCTTATGTTTTGGACAAGTTTGAGATATTGGTATAGTTTTAAATTTACTTTTAAAAAACTTTCCACTTCAAACCCTAAATAATGCAGTAATATGTCATTCTTTATGTTTCAGATAACTCATACATGTATGCACATAATGGGAACATGTCCCGTCAACATCACAAATCATTCATTTAAAACATTAATGAAGTAATCATGGCATGAATACAAGGAAACAACAACAATAACCAAAAGGAGAAAAGACCAGACTTTTTTGTTAGAAAACAATGGATTTTGCTAGATATATATTAAGGTCTACTGTGCAGTCCATGATTACATAATGAGAACAGATTGCACACCATTGTAACGAACAATAATGAAGCATTCCAATAATACAAGTTTTACCATTCATAGATCAGTAATCATTCCACAAACTTTTTTGAGGGCTATATATCCAATCAGATCTATGGCTTTTTCATTTTGATTGTGGCTTCTACCTGCTTTTCTCCCAATAGACTTCCCATCTGGACTCCTGGTCAAATATTCCAGCACCTCCACCCACTCCAGAATCCTCTTTTTCTTCATCTTTATCTCTATCACCTCCATCTACATCAGATTCCTTGTCATTTAATCTTTCCCTTGTTGTTTTTCCTCCATCTCCACCATCTTCTCCTTCAGAATCCTTGGCTTCTTTTTCTACTTCTTCGTTATCTGCATCATCTCCATCTACATCAGATTCTTTATCATTTAATATTCCCCTTCATTCTCCTCCTTCCCCACCCTCTTCTCATACCTGTTCTATGTTTCATATGTCTTCACCATCTCGCACCTCCCTGTGTTCTCCATCTCTTCGAGTTGATGTTCAGTTGTATATTTTGTTCATCCTCTCCATGTTGATTGTGGTATTGATTGTATTTTTTGTGATATTTTGCTTGTAACTTCTGGTATTCTTGTTGCTGTTGTATCATTGTTCATCTATTTCTTATCATCACCACGCATATGGTATCGGGATTTTCTCCCTGCATGTACTGATATTCCAAAATAATATGGTGAGTGATTCCATATGCTATTTCATTGTATTTATTTTGAACAGATCACTGAAATCCCCAGTGCAAATAACTCATTCCTTTGGTCTTCATTTTTATCATACACTATAAGGGTCCTATTATACTATGGGGTTTGTCATCTTTTGTCTGTTTGTCTGGTAGCAGATATTTGTGGGGATAAGTCTACTTCCATTTTTAACTTAATATTTTTTTTGGGTATTTTGAGAGATGAAAAGTACAAATTCACACTTTATTTTTGTTAAGCGTCTGTACACCCCCCCCCCCCCCCCCCCTCTCCCCGGAAAAATAATTTTAAAAAATCCTTCATTGATTTTGGCCTTTGTTGGGCATAAAGTACATGTTAAACAATATTTGCCCCTTTGTAACTTCTTAAATGTGTTCCTCTAATTTATTCTCTGAGCACACTAGTGATTGATGGTGCATGCGCAGGAGTGTCACTGCTGTACATGAGAGAAAGCCTCATCTGGGTCATGTAGCATATTTAAATTTAGTAGATCATGCCTTTTTTCAAGATCAGACTTGAAGGAATTGACATTGCAGCAATTTATGACTTTGGATGGGAGATTGTTCCACAAGGTTTTTTAACGCAATATCTTTCATCATGCTATCTTAAATTTTAACTGGCCTTTGAGTCAAAATTTGATAAACAAGTTTCTTTGCAACCAAAACTGTACAAAAGGATAGCTTTACTAGGTAGATCAAAAAAAATACTTAACGTTCGTCGGTTTGAAATTGTTAGCATATGCTTTGATATTGCCATTAAATGTAAAAAGTATACTTATAAAACAACATAAAATAATGTGTCGTTTGGTTTTGGGTGTACCAACGTGCACCCCAACCTCACAAGTTTTGAATAGACTAAAGTGGGTCTCCATTTTCGACCAATGGAAATTTCACCAATGTAAGATGGTTTTTCAGGCTGTTAATGACCTAGCTCCACAATATATATGTAATTTGTTCTCTAAGTTATCTAATATTCATTCTCATAATACACGTTCTTCAAGAAATAATTCTGTTAAACTCTTACCGGTAAAAACTGAAATTGGAAGATCAAGTTATGTTCATTCTAGTTCTGTTATGTGGAACAGTTTACCCAATTTTGTTAAGAATTCACAAACCATCTCACAATTTGTTAAACATTTTTGGTATTCTGTTAAAGTTAATTCCCAAAATGCTGATCATTAGTTTAATTTAATTTTGCAGCCTAATGTTACTATTTTATGTATGTATACTTTACCTTTGTATTTTTCATGTATGTGTATTTTTTGTTGTAGGGCCCCAGTGAAAAACAGTGCCTTGATCACTGATTAGGCAACCCTACTAAAATAAAACAAATACATAAATAAATAAATAAACTATACTTGGGGTTTAAATGATACATGCAATTTATGGAAGATTGGTAACAAGCTGTTAATATCCTCACTGGATCTTCACCGCTTTGAGTATTTTGAGACGTCATCTGGTTTCTTTGAAAAACCCAGTCTATCTTGTTCCATGGATGTTTTTTGTTAAATTACAAACAAATTTAAGCTTTGTATTAGTCCATCAAAGGGGGAAACCCTTTTCAAAAATTAGGTATTTTTGTTAGCTCAATTATTTGGAAAATCAATGCATGTGTATCAAGTGTTTTTACTTTAATGCAAATATTTAGACCAAATCTATGACAGCTTTTTACACATGGATGGGCATAGTTTTAAGAATTTAATTTGCAGTGAACAGGGGAAAAATAGCCCCAGTACATAAAATTTAACCACCCCCCCCCCCCTCCCCGGCAGCTGGAATAAATCAGACATTTGAAAGAACTCTTTAAAAATGAACTCCAGACCAAAAAATAACTGAATTTTATAAAAATGTTCCAGAAAAATATTCCAGGGTAAAAAAGTAATGAAAATGTGATAAGAAATAAGGTACTTATGATTTTTTTTTAGTTTCCCATATTTTTAGAAAACAATAAGTCACAATTATTCTTCTATATACCTAACCTGCAAGGGCTGAATTCAATAGATATGGTTTAGTGATCCTACTGTGATTCTGTTGTGATAAAGCCTTTTGCAGGTTTAACCCATAGAGGTACATGCAGTGTCACCTTGTTGGCAGTATCTCCACATTCCAGAAAGCTGAGCGTTTAGCAACATAATTAGAGAAAAATACACTGAGTATTTTGAGCCTCTTTCCAGTGCAATGTGATTTTGCGTTCCTGAGTAAGGGCAGTTTGAATGTAGCAAATCACTGCGATCCTTAAATTGGTAATTTGCAAAGAAAATTTATAAATCACTACTTCTGCGTTAGCATTGGCCGTTTTTGTTCCAATTTTTTTCACAAAAAAATCTCTTTTTGATGCTATTATATCTAAATTCATTTATTTTTTATCATTTAATAGAGGGGAAAAAAATACATGTTGCCAATTTAAATATTGATTGAAGATTATTTTTTTATTTCCTAAAGGCTCTGTCCCTCCATGGATTAACAGGTAGAAGAAAAATTGTGACTGGCACTGTATGAATATTCATTTTAGTGAAGAGATGATGTTATACCATCACAATTTCCTACACGATTCGATTACAGAAAATGAGAAAAATCTCACTCAAATGAGAAAAATCTCATTTTCATGCAAAATAAAGTAAATCTGTTTTCTCTCTATAGATCTCCCAAAATGGGAAATTATGTCTACTATGACATATTTCAGGGTTATATTTTCAACTACATTTGCCAAAAATTTTATTTTTCTTGATTTCATCTTTATGATTTGTGTGACCTGATGACATCATCACTTCACTCAAATGAATATTCATATTGACTGGTCAAGAAGTGTTTTCCGAATCATAACTTCCATCTTTTCATGATTTTTGTAACATTTTGTAGGGAATATTTTTTTTTCCTTTTTATGAATCCAGTTATTTGGGCCTGGAGTTCTTTATTAATTCTAAGTTAAAGAGGAAAAAAAAGGGGGGGGGAGTGACATATGATATGTTACTTTACAGTTGACATACACTGTATAACTAGATGTTCATGTAGAGCATTTCATGATCCTCTTTTGACAGAGTCAGAGACGTAACCGCCGCATCTCACCCTACCATATAGCGGAGAGGTGGTGCGGCCTTGGAGAAGATCAGGAGGGATTTAAAAAAAAATTATCAACGATGACATAGGTACTGTACACATAGATTATGCAGTTTAGTAGTGGCTGTATTGAACTAGTCCTTTGATGTGCAAGTCATGAGATCAAGGCTAGTTAAACCTTTAGGAAGACTTTTTGTATTTTGGTTCAATACCTTTTGATTCAAGGCTCTGAAAAATATGGTTCACAGATAGCAGCATTGTACAAGCAGAAAGAGAGAAGAAAAAAATCTACACAAAGTCTGATCATTGTGATCATTTATCGATCATTAAACACAGAATTTTCAAAATGAATATAATCACTAAGATTGTAAAAAATCCTTAAATTAGCAGCATGTTTCTGCATTTGTTAATGTGATATTGAAAGATTTGGTCCACACTTGTGGTCGATTGTGCGGACATTCAGTAATAAAAAGAAACGTCAATTTTAAGCATTTTCTGGAGGTAACCCCCCCCCCCCCCACACACACACACACCTTTGCTTTGTATGACCATGATTACATGGTACTCTGCCATAAGGTTTTTTTTGTTTTACTTTTTTTTTAACTTTAACAAAATATTTTCCTTCTCCACTTTTAGGACATGGACTTGTGACAAATAAACCCTTTTTAAAGGGAGATTTCCTCCTGGAATATCGTGGAATATTGTCCATTGCTGATGATCAGGATGATGAGAATGCGGATTATGTTTTCCACTTCTCGCATAAAAGTACCGAGTATCGGTGAGTGATTTTAAAATCCTGTTTCTTCAGTTTATGCTGACTAACATTTGCATGCTTTATACATGTAGTCGAAGACTACATAAAGCATATTATGAAATATTATATTATGTTTTAAAAATATCAGCAAAATCATGAAAGTGTCTGTTAATGCAGTTTTTGTCTCGCCTGAACGATGTTCTGGCAGAGACCTAGTAATAGGAGTGGGCTATAAATGGATGATTCTTGATTTTCTTTTTGCAACAGCATGAAATGACAAAATATTTTGGCTTAGGGTCTGACAAAAATGTACGCCGGGCCAAACTCCATACCTGCCAACCAAAAAGCGGAATTTTTGTCTTTTGCATTTAATTAGGGGGTATCAAATATTTAGATGTTGATTACTATCTGAACACAACAATACCATTATCCATCCACCCGTCTTCTCATAACTCTTTATTATTAGCTGGTATTAACATTAAGAAAGCAAGACGCAAGAATTTCTCAAGATTGAGCGGTGTGCCTTTGTGAATTACAGCCAAAAATTTAGAGCACCTTGCATATCCGAGTCACAAGCACGAAATGCCAGTGAATATTGAAATATTGAAATACATTCTATTTAGAATCATTCACTGGCATCTTTTCAATTTGGTACCGCCCCATCAAACGTAAAAGCTTTTAGGTTTGTAGCTCTGAAAATAGAAAATGGCTACCGATTTACCCCCAAACTAGATTTTCGGGCATAACTAGTACAATCTTCCTCTAGTAACATGAATGTCATCAGTCCAATGTTGTTGCTGCCATATTTCATATCCAGTACCAGCCCACATTAGGTGGTCCACTTGTAGAGCTTCATCCCCATGGTCATTCATGTAGAATAATGTTGCAAGGACTATATGGAGGAAAAAGTGGTAGGAGGAAAGACTGGAGATATTGTAGGATGCCAGAGAAGCTGAAACTAGAATATTTATAATTTTTATAATAATAACAATGTCCCATGTGGTCGCTGCCATATTTCTTATCCAGTACGAGCACGCATAGGTGGTCTACTTGGAAAGTTTCATCCCCATTGTCATTCAAGAAGAACACAATTATATCATCTTTTAGTTCCCCTCTCTCATCCATAATAAAATCGAGTGGTTGTTGAGTTTGGAAGATACAGGTTCAGGAGAGTGAAATATTCTATTCTCAGCTTCTCTGGCATCCTACAAGATTTCCAGTCTTTCCTTCTACCACTGTTTCCTCCATATAGTCCTTGCAACAGTGTTCTACATGAATGACCATGGGGATGACATGACCTACATGTATCAGTGTTGTGGTGCCTTGATGCTTGGCCTTAAGGCCTGTTTTTTCAATGCCTTTGCCTTGAACTTGGTCTTGGGGTTTCAGGCCTTGGCCTTGGCCTTGCCTTGAGGGGGTCATGCCTTGGCCTTGAGAGTTTGGGCCTTGACTACAACACTGACATGTATACGCGTGCTCGTACTGGATATGAAATATTGTAGCGACCACATGGGACTGAATATATCCAGGGCATTTTAGGGGAAGATCGTACCAGTGCATGACCTTGAAAGAAACCTATAATTTATCAAGTAGAAAGCCAAATTTTGGTTTCAGCAATGCTAGAGAAATGGAGGATTGTGCAAACTTGATCTAAGTTAATATGTCCTCATACGTTTATACAAACCTAGACTGTGTTACTTTTGCAGCGCATGTTGTCCTCGTACATTTATGCAAACTTGAGCTGTCTTGCAATACAATGTCCTCATAAATGTGCGCAAACTTTATCTGTGTTAATATGTCCTCATAGGTTTATACAAACAAAGACTGTGTTTCATTTGCAACGTATGTTGTCCTCATAGATTTATGCAAACTTGAGCTGTGTTACCTACTTTTTTTTACCCACTTTTTTCAGTTAACACGTGCAAGCCTATGGGAGTGTGTAAAAATGGTATTATACACAGCCCCAATTGTGGCAGCCCCCCCCCCCCCCCCCCCTCTTTCAAAACGTTCCGCGGCTCCTGCTTAACTTCTTAGAAAAGTGAATATACGTTGCAAGAAACACAAATCAAGTTTGCAGCAACTCATGGGGACTTTGCAAATCTGCAGCCTGTAACATAGAGAGATACGATTAATTTTGCAATAAATCGTATCTCGATATGGTACATAATTTGCCATAGACTTGCGATTAATATTTATCGTAAGTTTAATTGCATGTTTTATAAACCCCTGGACTGTGCTACTTTTGCATGGCATTTTCTTCGTACATTTACACAAATACCATGTCCTCATAAGTTTGCGCAAACTTGATAAGTGTGAAATAACTGTGCAATAAGTCCTCGTGTGTTGCTGCAAACCTGATGGCCCGAATTCACAAAGCAAGGTTTAGCTCAGACCAAGGTTTAAGTTTAAACCTCCTTTTGTTTCGCCAAACCTCCTTTTGTTATTTATAAACCTGGTTTGTAAATAACAAAAGGAGGTTTGGCGAAACAAAAGGAGGTTTAAACTTAAACCTTGGTCTGAGCTAAACCTTGCTTTGTGAATTCGGGCCACTATGTGTACATGTAATGTCCTCATAAGTTTACAGAAACTTTACCTGTGTTAATATGTCCTCATAATTAAGTTTAAACAAAGACTGTGTTACATTTGCAACGTATGTTGTCCTCGTACATTTGGTCATTTTCAAACGTGTGAGACGCGACATTTTGAGAGACAAAAGGGCCTGTATCATTCCACTTGGAAATGAATAGTGGATCATACCTATCATATTTGGTAAATTGTAGGATGGTCTCATTCTACTACCAGTTTGAGTTAAATTCTGTATTTCTTAGAAAAATTACGACTACCGTACAAAAAGGGGCGTGAGAGACACGACAAATTTTGGACATGGTTTTTGGACTGCTATCAGTGATAATTTTATTCGTGCCCAACTAAACCTCCGACACTTCCATGACTGCTGGTACTTGTGTACTAGTAGTGTACCTTTCTAAAATATATAGTCGTAATAAATCATCTCGTCTCAGTGATAAATGATTCTCCCCTAAATACTGTGAGAGACGCGACATCCAAATCGTGAGAGACGCGACATGTCCACTTTAACTTAAATTTTTGATACTTTCTCATCAATAGGCAACAGTGATAGCACCTCAAATTGAAAGATATTAACCATTTCTTACTATCTGGTCCAAATTTGATTGATGAAATAATGCAAGAGAGGAGAAATATAGAATTTTCTAACATTTTGTGAAGCCCAGTCCCACATGTACAATTTTTTGTGCAGTTTTCATTTCTCCTATAAGGAGAAGGCGGACATCCAAAAAATTTTCGAAAAATGAAAATTCATATTGTATTCACATGGTACGTGAAAGAAAATTGCCCAAAAATATCATAAGTTTTGAAATACGGCCAATTGACAATTAAAAAAAATGTCCACTTATGTTTGAAAATGACCATTTATGGAAATTTGAGCTGTGTTACCTATTCAATACAATGTCCTCATAACTTTGCGCAATCTTGATCTGTGTGAAATACCTTTGCAATATAAAGTCCTCATGTGTTGCTGCAAACTTGATTTGTGTTTCCTATATATCAATGCTCGTAAGTTTACAGAAACTTGATCAGGAAAAAAGTGTTCTTCTTGAACGACAATGGGGATGAAACTTTCCGAGTGGACCACCTATGCGTGCTCGTATTGGATATGAAATATGGCAACGACCACATTGGACTGAATATATCCAGGGCATTTTAGGGGAAGATTGTACCAGTGAGCTTGTCGGAAACCTGTCATTTATCCAGTAGAAAGCCAAATTTTGTCTTCAGCAATGCTAGAGAAATTGAGGATATCTTTTCGATAAATATACTTATTTATGCAAATTAGCCCAATCCATTGTTCATAACGGATGCTAGCACTAGACATGTACCTGATAGATTTTACCACTTTTTAATGCACTTACAGATTACAAACATAGGGTAAGACACCAAATCCAAACAAAAAGACGTACAAATCACAAAGTTATAGCTGAAAGTGTGATCTGGGGGCAAAGTGGCGGCCATTTTGGATTTTGGTTGGACCCCAAGCCAAAAATTTTGTTATTCCATGTTGAGATAGAGTATTAAATGGAAAACAAAAAAAGTAGTAATCACTTTTCCTGTCTGTTGGTTTTGTTCAACTCGCTCTTGTTTTTCTACTTGTTGATCAATTTCGTTCACACTTCGAACAAATGATCCTCAGGTAATACCAGACATGAAGTGATAAAGATGTTGAGGTCAAAGGTCATCTATTGTTTGGTTGCCCTCCACCGACCAATTCTTTGAAATTAGCCCGACCTGATTATTTATATTTTTTTTATTTGTTTTAAAACTTTTCATTCACATAGAAATTCATAAATGGCCATGCGTTTTGAACTCGCCTCCTTTTGTGTTACCATCCCCCAAAATTAAAGCTGACAGTCACGCACCTTTCAGCATAAAAATGCCAATAACTTTAAAAATATTAACTCTTTCCCTGCAAAAGTATACATTTTATGAAAGGAAATACCCTGAGGATTTCAAAAATGCCATTGAAAATGGGATAGGGTGGAGTTGTAAAATGTTATGATTGAAAATATTTGAAGTGTGATGATTCCAAAAATACATTTCAAAATATATCTAGATCTGCAATTCCTTTACCCTGACTGTTAGTTTCTCATCATATTTGAATTGTTCAGGAAATTCCCTTTCAGATGATATCGAATTGTATGGGGTATCTCTATTCTATAATAGAAATATTAATATGCAAATATACGCAAATTCTCAGCACACAAAATTGTCAATTTGGAGGTTAAATTTACAAAAAAGTGATTACTAACAAAATAAAAATAATAAACATAAGCAAATAAAAGCACACTTAATTACCTTTAATTCAAGACCAAAACCATAGGTCTAGCCCCATGTATACCGAAATTATGAACGTTTAAAGCGAAAAACCCTTAAAATGCATTGTCTCCATAGAGTTTGTGTGTGTTAGTATGGTGGAATGTGACATTTTTATCACATAATTCAAGAAAAATAATACTTATCAATAATAAGTGTATACATAATGTAGCAGGCATCATTACCTTCAATATGAGACCAAAATCAATTGAATAGCCCCATGTTTGCCAAAGTTATTTACGTTAAACTGTTTCGCATGTCGCTCCCATAGATATACTGTGTACCGCTCCCCCCCCCCCCCCCCCCAACCGACTTTGCCATGTGTCATTCTATCTTACGTAGCGTCGTTATTTTACGCGCGAACGAGTTTATATTTGCAGATGTGATAGTTCTGTTAATTAGCTTTAGAATGCTACCAAATTCAAGACTATTACCCTATTTTTTAGGAAAGATATTAATATTTATAGACAATGAAATGTGAAAAAGCGTAAAAAAACCCAACATTTTGGGGTGGTGAGTTCAAAACACATGGCCAAAAATACATATGAAATATGTTTTTCAAAGAGTCATTAAAAATAGTCTATTGGAATTTCTTTGCCCCTCAGTAATTATTTTCCAACAGACAGCAATAGCCATCTGTTTCTGGTGAATAATTTAATTTGGGGGGATTTTTAGGGTCCTGGCGAGTTAGAGGCCAGAGATTTTGGTCCAATTTTTCATATAAGATGTCAAAACTAAAAATAAATAAAACAAAAATTTAAAAAATGCCCGACCGACCGACACTATTTTTCAAAAATGACATTCTTGGGCGACCAAACAATTTTTTTTCTTGGCCTAAGTGAGTTGAGAACTTCCAGTACTGTGTACTATAGATCTTATTCTTGGTTTGTTCATTCTCTCCAGGATTGATGCATCAGATAGCAATTCTTGCCTCGCTAGGTGGGTCAACGATGATCATGTGCATCCAAATAGCATCATGAAAAAGGTTGCATTTGATAATAACTCCCCACATTTGTGCTTGTTTGCTTTGGTGGACCTTAAAGAAGGTGTGGAACTAGCATACGACTATGGAGTAAAGAATTTACCTTGGCGGCAGGTAAATGGAACATGTTCTTGTTTGCTGATATTCTAATGTATGCACTTGGTAAAGGTGAATCTTAATGGGAAGCTTGCTTATGAAGTAACCTAATGCTATTAGACCTTTGACATTCAAGATAATTATAATGTGATAAAAGAAAGAAGTGTACCTCAATTTTTGTAAATGACTAAATTTTGCTATATAATTAGACCTCACATTGAAAGACAGATCCACATTTCAGAATAAACCCTCAGAAAAAACAAAAACTTTCAGGATAATTTTCTGTTAATGATGATTTATTAATTGTTTTCAAATTAAAAAGTAATTTGAAGTGCCTTGTTAGGTAAGAAAATAAAAGAAGGACAAAAAAATGTTTGCCAAACATGGTTCTGATACCTTTTATCCTCAAATTGGTCCCCCCCCCCTCAAAAAAAATTTGATGGCAATGGTGAGCGTAATAATCATCTTTACTATGGAGTCGTTACTATGTTTATGATACATACATGTATAATACCATACCTGTAGATGCCTTATTTGCACTTCCGTATTCGGCCAGAACATAAAAGAAAAGGAATAAAAATGGGGACAAGGTGAAATATAAAAAGGGGGAAAAAAAGAAAAAAAAAGTTTTAAAAATACAAGAAAATAAATGGAAAGAAAAGGGGTAAACAAAAAATATGGCAATGATGAAATGTTTCATGTCTTTCTCTCATGTATTGTAGCCCAGTCTGGAAAAGGAACAGAACATACCATCTTCGGTAAGTATAGAGATCCTCAATTAGTGTGTTGAAATTGCTTAGTATTAAAACATGCATGTCCTCTCTTGAATATGTGAACAATTTCTATGTCAAATAATCAGTGTACATGTAATGTTCTCAAACACTTATGGAAACAAGTTCATTGTTGCATTGCAGTGTAATCTAACAGATTTATGCAAACAAGTGTTACTTCCGAATTGTTACAATGTTTATGATACCTGTAGATGCCTTATTTGCCTTCTCGTATTCGGGCAGAATAGAAAAGAAAAGGAACAAAAATGGGGACAAGTTGAAATATAAAAAGGGAAAAGAAAAGAAAAGTAAAAGTTTTAAAAATACAAGAAAATAAATGGAAAGAAAAGGGGTAAACAAAAAAAGATGGCAATGATGAAATGTTTCATGTCTTTCTCTCATGTATTGTAGCCCAGTCTGGAAAAGGAAAAGACCATACTATCTTTGGTAAGTATAGAGATCCTCAATTAGTGTGTTGAAATTGCTTAGTATTAAAACATGCATGTCCTCTCTTGAATATGTAAACAATTTCTATGTCAAATTTGCAGTGTACATGTAATGTTCTCAAACACTTATGGAAACAAGTTCATTGTTGCATTGCAGTGTAATCTAACAGATTTATGCAAACAAGTGTTACTATCAAATTATTACAATGTTTATGATACCTGTAGATGCCTTATTTGCACTTGCGTATTCGGGCAGAATAGAAAAGAAAAGGAACTAAAATGGGGACAAGTTGAAATATAAAAAGGGAAAAGAAAAGAAAAGGAAAGTTTTAAAAATACAAGAAAATAAATGGAAAGAAAAGGGGTAAACAAAAAAAGATTGCAATGATGAAATGTTTCATGTCTTTCTCTCATGTATTGTAGCCCAGTCTGGAAAAGGAAAAGACCATACTATCCTGAATCTCCTATTTCAACTTTAAAAAAGTTAAAAGCAGAGAAAATGTATTAGAAACTTGATAATGTGCATAATTTGCAATACTACAATGAAGTACATGGACAAATAGTCCACTTAGTTTCTGGGAGAGGATACACGATTTCTAATTGGCTATTGAAAGGAGTGCAAAAAAGAAAATAATACAATTGAGACAGAAAAGAAGAATGAAAGAGAAGTTATAAATTGGACAATGGAATGTCCACATTTATATACAAAGTCGTTACATATTTCTGTGCCAGAATTTGTTGCACGATGTCTTTATGCCTTTATGGAGACAAGTTCCGTGTTACATTTCCGTGTAATGTCCTCAGACATTTATGCATATTAGTTTTATGTCTCATGTAATATTAGTCCAAACAAGAACTTTTTTGCACTGCAATTGTCCTGACACATTTATGGAAACAAGTTATGTTACATTCACAGATTAATGTCCTCACAAAGCTGTTCAATCAAGCCCTATACTGCATTAAAAACACAATTTCTTTCTCTCTGAATAGCAGAACGAGACATAGTGTGCCATTTTTATGTAAATTCAATGAAAATTATAGGGAGATTGAAAGGGATATTTAAAAATTATCTGATATTCCCATGTCACAAAGAATGCTGCAATGCATTGCATGATGCAAGCCAGACTGCTAGGTGCGTTCTGCTTTTGCTAGTTTATATTATGTGATTTTTTTTAATTTTAACACCACCGCAAAACAAAAGTTGTATAGGTCGGCCACTTGGTCCGTTGGTCCATCTGTTTAAAATTTTGCTGATCAAAGCACTTCTTGTTTTTTAGAGATGCTTTTAATATTTCACACACATATAGGTCTTGTGAATGTAAAACGCCCTGTTTTCATGTGCCAGAAACTATGATGCCATGGTTACAGCACATGGCAATAAATCAAATAGAAATATTGCAGATCAAATTACTTCCTCATATTGAGCAATGGTCAGGAGATTCAGTACACACATGGAGGATGGGGTATTATAATCATCTTTACTTTGGTATATTTGTATGCCTCCGCCCACCGAAGGTGGTGCCGGAGGCATTATGTTTTCGGGTTGTCCGTCCGTCCCGTTTTCGTTCTCGCGATAACTTTAGAACCAATAAAGGTATCAACTTGAAACTTTTGTCATGTATGCTTATGGAAGGGACAATGATCTGATTAGATTTTGGAGTCATGAGGTCAAAGGTCAAAGGTCACAGAGGTCATTGAATACATGAAAATGCACTTGTCTTGTGATAACTCAAGAACGATTCCACATATCAACTTTAAACCTTGGTCATGTATGCAGATGGGAAGCCCAATGATCCATGCAAATTTTTAGGGTCATGAGGTCAAAGGTCAAAGGTCATAGAAGTCATGAAATACATAAAAATGGCTTTTTCTAGGGATAACTTAAGAGCAGTTTGACATATCAGCTTGAAACCTTGGTCGTGTGTGCAAATGAAAAGCACACTGATGCAAGCAAATTTTGGAGTCATAAGGTCAAAGGTCACAGCGGTCATTTTATACATGAAAATAGTCTGTTCTCGCTAAAACTTATAATACGTTTAACGTATGAACTTGAAACATTGGTCATGTATTCATATAGGAGGGATAATGATCTGATAAGATTTATGGATCTATTAGGTAAAAGGTCACAGGGGTCATTGAATACAGGAAAACAGACCATGGTTTAGCTTATCAACTTGAAACCTTGGTCCTTTATGCAGATGGGAAGTACAATTATCCATAGGCCATGAGGTCAAAGGTCACATAGGTCATTTTATACACGGAAATGGCCTTTTCTCGCAATAGCTCATAATTTGTTTGACAAATAACTTTTATCATGCGAGGATATGGGAAGGACAAGGGTCTGATTAGATTTTAGATTTATGAGGCCATCGGTCACATATGTCATTGAAAACATGAATGTTCAATTCATGTTCTTGCTATTATTAGTATGCAGTATAAAGGAAGTCATGTGTTAATCTTATTCAGTTAAATATTTATTTCTGATTGCGTGATATAAATGGGAAAGATAATTCTGATCACGTGATGGCGGAGGCATAAATTCCGACTGCGTGCGGTCGAGGATTCATCTAGTTAATCCAGAAAATAATGTTGTTCTTTCTCTCTCTCTCTCTCTCTCCAGAGCTCTCAAATGAGAGGGATGGACCTCCTGGGTCTATGGAGCCAAAAAGTAGCCATCCTGTTGCAAAAAGGTCAAAAGGTAATAATAGCATGTAGTTCAAACTTTGCTTGTAGTCCTATTTAAACCCTAATTTAGCCGGGTTTTGGGGGTCTTCTTTTGCCAGAGGTTGATTTAACTCCCCCCCCCCCCCCCCCTCCCATCTTCAGATCTTGGCTACTGGTTGCACGATCACTGCAAAAATCTGCATGCAAGTAGAATATAATGTAACTACGCAATCTAAGAGTTAACATCACAAGCTATGTGCATGCCGAATTTCGGCGCGATTGCGCGATCAACGGCCGAGATCAGAAGGGGGGACCCAATAACCCCCCCCCCCCCCCATGGACTGAAGTGATCGAAATATCCCAATGGGATTAGGGTTAATTGCATGTACATGTTTGATATGTGACAATGTACTTTAGAAGGAATTGTGAAAATTTCTTGATTTAGATGACTTTTTGCATCACATGAAGTTGTCCTTAGGTTATCAAATATGCACATGCTTTCTTTTCACTCTCCTATAAAATCTCTTTTCATTTACAGCGGAACGCATTACCTGGACAGCAGCACAACACCATGCTGTAGACACATTTTCAAAAGAAATTACAGGACATTCCGAATTCCAGGGAAAGAAGAATGTGAGGAATGTAGAAATAAGTATCCTGAACTTGCAACACTACCCTGGACTAAGATTAAATACAGGGTTTATAACATTATTAAACAAAACAAACTAAAATCCTATTGAATCCATCTTACCTCAATGAAGAAAAGTGTACACACACACATGTATGTATATAAATATGATTTATTGCACTCCATGCAAATCATGAGGTTTGATTCAATCACAAGCAAAAACAAATAAATGAATAAAATGATAATAATTCAATTGTATACTATGCAAACATTCAAATAATTTATATAAATGTCAGATAATACAAAGCAAAAAGGTTTGTAATTAATATGGATCACCTTGATAAAATTATAGCTGCAAGAATGGTAATTTGTATAACTGCTGTTGAATTGTCAAACCATGAACAAACTTTCTACACACAATCGGAAATTGCACTTGAGAAGAAAAAAAACGATACAATAAATTCATTGCTGAAATAAAACAAACATAAACATTCCTTTATAAGAAATATGGATGTGATTGACATTCAATCTGCATCGTACAGCATGGACTGCAATGTATTATAACAAAGAGAATATGCGTGTGTGTCAGCATTTCTTTTATAAGCAAAGTGTATAAAGGTGGAAAGTGTGCACATGTGCAGAATACTCCATCCACATTTTATAGCTGTACTGTGCATTACTTGAAATTAATATTTTTTCCTGACCTATTTGATTTCTATCCCAAGTTATGTGTAAGAGATCAAAATAAATATTCCATATTTCCACGATATTCCAGGAGGAAATCTCCCTTTGAAAAGGGTTTATTTGTCACAGGTCCATGTCCTAAAACTGGAGAAGGAAAATATTTTGTTAAAGTTAAAAAAAAAAGTTAAAAAAAAAAAAAACCTTATGGCAAAATACCATGTAATCATGGTCATACGAAGCAAATGTGTGTGTGGGGGGGGGGGGGGGTTACCTCCAGAAAATGCTTAAAATTGACGTTTCTTTTTATTACTGAATGTCTGCACAATCGACCACAAGTGTGGACCAAATCTTTCAATATCACATTAACAAATGCAGAAACATGCTGCTAATTTAAGGATTTTTTACAATCTTAGTGATTATATTCATTTTGAAAATTCTGTGTTTAATGATCGATAAATGATCACAATGATCAGACTTTGTGTAGATTATCATTTAAGAAAAATGAAGAGGTGATTTCTGAGATTTTGTACATGTAAGAGAAAAGTTATTTATGCATTATGAATGACTAACTGCATGTATGTCAAGTTCCTGTTGTCAGTGTTGAGTTTTATTAAAAACAAATCTTTGAAAATGATCTACATGTGTACTTGAAGTGTTTAAATTTGCTTGTATCTGAATGATGTAAAGTGGAACCTTGTTGAGATAAACTCCTCATGATCGCTAAAAGAGATAAATACCTGTGCAAAATAAACAGATAAAGTTTATATGTCCTCATAAGTTTATACAAACAAAGACTGTGTTTCATTTCCAACACATGTTGTCCTCGTACATTTATGCAAACTTGAGCTGTGTTACCTATTCAATACAATGTCCTCATAAGTTTACGCAATCTTGATCTGTGTGAAATACCTGTGCAAAATAAACAGATAAAGTTTATATGTCCTCATAAGTTTATACAAACAAAGACTGTGTTTCATTTGCAACACATGTTGTCCTCGTACATTTATGCAAACTTGAGCTGTGTTACCTATTCAATACAATGTCCTCATAAGATTGCGCAAACTTGGTATGTGTGAAATACCTGTGCAATAAGTCCTCGTGTGTTGCTGCAAACTTGATTTGTGTGATGTCCTCATAAGTTTACAGAAACTTTATCTGTGTTGATATGTCCTCATAAGTTTATACAAACAAAGACTGTGTTACATTTGTAACGCATGTTGTCCTCGTACATTTATGTAAACTTGAGCTGTGTTACCTATTCTATACAATGTCCTCGTAAGTTTACGCAATCTTGATCTGTGTGAAATACCTGTGCAAAATAAACAGATAAAGTTTATATGTCCTCATAAGTTTATACAAACAAAGACTGTGTTTCATTTGCAACACATGTTGTCCTCGTACATTTATGCAAACTTGAGCTGTGTTACCTATTCAATACAATGTCCTCATAAGTTTACGCAATCTTGATCTGTGTGAAATACCTGTGCAAAATAAACAGATAAAGTTTATATGTCCTCATAAGTTTATACAAACAAAGACTGTGTTTCATTTGCAACACATGTTGTCCTCGTACATTTATGCAAACTTGAGCTGTGTTACCTATTCAATACAATGTCCTCGTAAGTTCACGCAATCTTGATAAGTGTGCGTGGTTGACCTCTGTCGAATGCTGAAATATGACATTTTAACATTAGAGAAAGCCACCTCAGACGTATACCAAAACAAGAATCATGTCCTCTGATGTATAGGTCTATGATAAATGTTTAAACTTAAACAAACGCATTCAATGTTGTGAGCGTCCTTTAAAGCATTCTCTTTTTTAGGGAGTCTTTTCACCATTATGTCCATTAGAGCTAGATAACACCTGTCCTCAAAAGAAGGTAGTTTACCATGGTCCTCGGACATAATAGGCGTGTATGTATGTGTGTGTGTGTGTGTGTGTGTTTGTGTGTGTGTTTGTGTACATTATGCCTGGAGACAAAGACAAGCCAGAGGTGTGTCTTCTATACTGCGCTCTGATTTGTCAATTGGATTGAGCTCCTTTTGGAATAGAACCGATTTGGATTTAGCTCCTTTTTGAATGAAACATGATATTGTACCCTACAATGTTCATACTTTCTGGATAAATTTTAGAATGTGATATAGTGCATTTTGTTTCAATGTAAGAAATCATTATTTTAAGACATAAAACCCAATTTTGATAAAATATGGATTAAGTTCCTTTTGGAATCAAGCTCTTCACATTTTGGGGTGTAAAATGGGCTTAAATGCAATTTTAGATCCTGAAAGAGCACCTGTAATGTCATAAATAAGAATAAGAGCAATAACCATGCACCTCGAAGGCACTTGCGGTCTAAAACAAGAACTTAAAACATTACAATTTTCACAAGTTTTAAATGCTTAATTGACATTTTCTTCACCTAGGAGGGGGGGGGGGGGTTCTCTCCGTCTTTCACGGTGCCCCCTTCCTCCTCCAAAATGACTAGATCCGCTACTGTCTCGCATCCAGCTCAAGTTGGTGCCTCCTTATTCGCCTTCTCTTAAAGGTAAAGACAAGTTATGGTCATGCGATTGCATTGTGAGAGAAACGTTGTGGAATCAATCAGAAAAGGTTGATTATATAGCATATAAGTATTGGTGTGTACTATAAGGTTCTGGAATCATCAAAATGATAAGAAATGTCTCTCCCTCTCTCTCGCTCTTTTACTCTCTTTCTTCTTTTTTGTTATTTACCTTTTGGGCGTGGAACTATCCTCAAACCTCCCCTCCTCCCTCCTTCCACTGGTACGTGGTGGTTTGTAAAAAAGTGCAACGCGACCTATTGGCTGGATGTTGTCCTTCTATTGACGGAAATGTTTATGTCAGCTATTACTCATATAACGAGAAAATGTTGGCCTTTGACAATAATCGTTTGCCCTTTATAATTGTCTTATTAGGTCAAGGATCGACATTTATTTCAGGTCGGATGAGCAAAATTGATACCTTATTTCTGACAGCGGCAGGTCACTCCATTAATGGCATTGGTCAATATTTTAAAACACACGTAATGATACTAAATGAAGACTTTTAGGCACTTAAGATAATAATTCTTAACTCACACGAACGGCTAAGATGCTCACTGATAATAATCCATCAAACACGAGGATTAGGTACAAAGCAAAACGTATCATTTTGTATTCAACAATTACTATTCGTAGCACAACAAGTCTCTTAATGTAAAACCAACGAAGCCATATTATTGAATGCCAATCATGTCAGATATTTTAGCATTTTGTCCTTGAAGTAATTTCTCTATGCCTAAGCCCTTATAAAACTAAGAAACTTCATTGAAATTATATTCTTTATATTAAATCAAGTCAATTTTCCGTCTCCAGGATAGCCATTAAGTATGAATTTGTTTTGAATGAAACATGATATTGTACCCTACAATGTTCATACTTCCTGGATAAATTTTAGAATGTGATATAGTGCATTTTGTTTCAATGTAAGAAATCATTATTTTAAGACAAAAAACCAATTTTGATAACATATGGATTTAGCTCCTTTTGTAATCAAGCTCTTCACATTTTGGGGTCTTAAATGAGGTAAATTGCAATTTCAGATCCTGAAAGAGCACCCGTAATGTCATAAATAAGAATACGAGCAATCACCATGCACTTCGAAGGCATTTGCGGTCTGAAACAAGAACTCAACTATCCTTTTTTAAAGTTCGTTCGTTACTTTAATTAATGTCGTTTTTTCTTATAAATAATTTCCCTTTAAATAGACATTTTGTAATTTGTCTTTACAAAGTGTGCTCTTTAAACATCTAAAGTTTCAAAGAATCGAAAGAATCGATGCAGCTTTGTGTAGTAACATGTTTGCTATTTCTACTAACACAACGAAAGGCACTGTTGAGAATACGAAAGGCCCGACAAAATATGGGGCATTTACATTATTAAATGTCATTCATATTAATGTTTAAAAGAATTATGATTACCATACCTACTATGACAAGAAGTATTTTTAATCATCTCTCATATCCCGATACAATACGTGTATATGCATCTGATCCATCTGAATTACGTGCATATAACAAAAAAACTTTTTTTGCATGAAAAAGTGAAGTTTTCTAAAAAGTGCGTTTCTTCCCAGCATTGGGGTTCCAGGGAGGCATTTGGGTAACCTTTCAATACGTATAATATACAAACAGAATATGCAACTTCTCTGTCCTTTTGTCAGAAAAAAGCATATAAATCCAGCATAATGTCGTTTCTTTTTTGCTTTGGAGAAGAGCAAAATAGCAAGTTTCAATCACACTTTGACCATTCTCTCAAGCCCTCACTCGTTCAATTGTTGATCATGTAGCATATAAGTAATGGTTCAGTGACCAAGCAATGGCCTCGTAACTGTGAGGCCCCAGGATCAAAACCGTGTCGATGTGTTTATATATTAGTGCCCATTTGGGGGCATTAATCCTCATTATTGTCATTTATGACTTAGGTGCGTAGGTCCCCTAGTTTATAAGCATAGTAGCATACACATGCTTTAGCAGTCACGCAAAACAAACGCTGGCAAATTACTATTCAATACAATCTGAAAGTGTATACTATTTAGATCTATTAGGAATAAATCATTGTCAAAAGAAACCATGCCCAGTAGTGTCCATGCATGAGTGATAATTGTCCTCGGTGGGTAGTTGTCCTCGGGGGGTAATTCTACTTGGGGGTAGTTGTCCGTGGGGGTAATTGTCCTCGGGGGTAGTTTTCCTCGGGGGGGGGGGGTAATTTTCCTCGGGGGGTAATTGTCGTCGGGGGGTCATTCTCCGGGGGTAATTTTCCGGGGGGTAATCGTCCTACGAGGGTAGTTTTCCGGGGGATGATTTTCCGGGGGGGGGGGGGGGGGGGGTGATTGCCCAGGGGGTAATTGTCTTGATACGACCCCAGTCCTGTCCCCTTTTCCTCATAATAGAAAGTGATACAAACATTAAGGAGGCCTCGCGGAACTTTATTCAATGCTTCAGGAGGCGATGCTCCCTGAAAATAAGAAGTTGCAATAGTTAAAAGAAGTGAAAACGAATCCCATTTCTTCCCCCACCCATAATTTGTTTTTCTCTTTTATTTGGTTCGCTATCTCTCTCTCTCTCTTTCTTTTTTAGTCTATTTTTTTTTCTTTTTTTACCTTTTGGGCGTGGAACTATCTTTAAAGTGACTCGGTAACATTGTTGAAGGTTGATGAAAAAAAATTGCTTAATTTTTGTATAAAATTTTACTTAATATATTCCTTCTACTATACTAACCCTCTGACATGCAAAAAATCCTGAACAAATTCTCAAACCACAAAGATATCTATGGTTTTCTTTGAAGGCGTCGATGTGAGGCACCCTCTAACAGTGATTAACAGTAAATTCTCCCAATCATTTTTGAATTTTCCCAACCGTTTTTCCATGAGAAAAATACATAAAACAGGCTATACAAATCTGTCAACACTTAACTGTCTGGAATGGAATGTAGAACCATTTTATTGCTTTGTCACGATTTACATTCACCTAAAATGTAATTAAATTGTCCTTGTCTTGATGCTGAACAGGCTTTGACAAGTAGCAAATAGAAGTAGAATAATATAGTTGGGAGAATTAAGGAATCGATCATATCA